TTACTGGCAAGCACAAAATATGTTATAAGTGGTTTTTTCAGGGTGCCGAGTTTAAATATTTGGTCCATTTTTTACGAAATTAGATTCGTTAGCAGATTACCACATGATATTCGTCTGTGAATGGAACAGTTTGTTAGAGCTAATATTAGAGAACAATATGATACCTTAAAAAATTTAATTTATCATATTTTTAATTACTGTCTGGTTGACTAATAAACTGTGCCATTTCATACCATTTGAGTATTGCTATAAATATGACAATAGTAGGCTGAAATAACTAAACTCTTTATATGTTTTTTTGTTTTAATATTTGTTATATCATAGTATTTGATTTATATAACTACAAAAGTTATCTTACGTAAATGTTTATCACGCTGAGTGACCATTCTAACACATTTTATAAATTTTCTTCCACTACTGTACACAATTTAAAGAATTTTTAAAATGCGTTACATTGGTCACTTGGTGTGATAAACACTTATGTAAGATAACCTTTGTAGTTATATAAATCATATACTAGTGCGGCATTGGTTTTGATCTAGTGGGGCAAATGACCTGTTTGCCGTCCAGCAGATGCCTGTGTGTGAAAGAAATCATTTAATGTTAAATTTTATATTGACATATGTGTATTATACAAAAGTATTTCTAATAAATGTAAATGTAACCTATGGATAAAACTAAATACAATATTATATTTAGTTATTGAATTTATTTCTTTTAGAGTGAAATTTTCTCTCTTGGCAAACTTTGTCACAGAGGAAATATATTGATTTCACTCTTTGTATATTTACGTACGTAGGTTTAATTAAATAAGTGAAATATTAAATATATCTGAATGTAACTTACGTCTAAAAGGTAATTCCTGATTATTTTAAATCAGTTATTAAATAAAATTAGAAATATTTTTTTTTAAATCATTTAATTAAAAAATATAAAGTTATTTTTAAAATACTTTTTATGTATATTTGATTAAATGATTATTTTATATTTTTAATTTAAATGTTTTTACTAATTTGTTTTTTTTTAATGATTTGTGTAAATGTTTTAGCTCTGTTCGAAGAATTTTGTTAATTGTAAATAATTAAAGTACTGTAATTCAGTGAAAAATATGACTATACAAACTAAGTTTCAGTCCTTCTGTCTATTTATATCCTTTTCATTCCAGTCCAGTAACTAAAAAACAGTTGGCGACTTGAAGAAAAAACCTTCTAAAAATAAGACAAATACAATCGAAAAAATCTCACACACAATTAAAAAATGATCTAGACGTCGACCCTTTCTTGTAGGCTACGACATCTACAAACATTAAAAATCGGTAAAATTTTTTCCGACAGCATTCATGTTATATAATTGCATTTAAGCCGAGAGTCCTCTGGGGATTTTCGGGCGGCTTAGAATTATTTGCATAATTATACATAAAAGCCCAGGATTATTTTGACTTATTTCAAATGTAAATGTTGTAGAAGTTAGTTTGTATCCATGTTGTACTTAAGTATAGTCCACTTTGTCTGTATTGCATTCCACATTTCATATTTTTCCCTAATTTCTACATAGGGGATTTGGAAGAAGCTAAAATGTATTTCTTTAGAAGTATGCTAGTTTGATTACATGATCAACAAATCAATTGTATAAATTTATATAGTATATACAGAAACCATTCTACNGCATTCACACTGAGTATGATTATATGTTGGTGGCCGACTCATAAGGACCAATCAGAATGCATGTTATAGATCAATACACTAGCCAATCATGGTAAGTTTTTTAAATTAAACAGAAAACATGGGTGTCGTGGAAAGTGATTGTACATTTAAATATATCGCGTCATTATTAGATTAGTCAATCACGTACCTTCAACGTTTAGTTTCTTGGAAATCTCCGTCCAAGAATTATTTTTTTTATGTTGTCTTTATAATCACCTAGCTGAATATCAAAGCCACGGATATGTTCTGACTTCGTTTATTAAAGCTTCCGAAAAATTTATACTTTCCGCCATTTTCTAACTTTTATGTAGATTGGATAAATCTAAACTCTGATTGGTTATAGCTTCGAAGCTCTCATTGGCTGTAGCTCACCGACTGCTCCGACCCAACTACAAATATTTAACTTTTCAAATCTGTCCAACTGGAACGACTAGTCCAGTGATGGGCAAACTACGGCCCGCGGGCCAGATGCGGCCCCCTGAAATGTTCTATCCGGCCCGCGCAACATTATTCCTAATCTGACGAGTAAAAAAGAATACAGGCAGTGGTGGTTGATGCACCACTTAACTTGAGTGTTCGTTGATTATATAAAATAACCGAAGCTTTATATCTCACCATGAAAGTTTATTTACAATCATGTACAAAATTTTGTTTTACACTTATTGAGTAAAAGCTCGATCGGTTACAAGCATGCTTCGGTACAGAACATCCACTCGTCGTGCGTAGCGTAGCCGAAAGAGAGAAATAGAAATATGGCGGACGGCCTGCACATGTTTTTATAGCGCCACCTGGATTTTCAGATGCAGAGCTAGGTTACAATTATATTGGCCCGCCTAAAGTTTTCTTGTTTTCCTTTGGCCCGCTCTTTAAAAAGTTTGCCCATCACTGGTATAAACCATGGATATTGGATGTATTCTTGATACCTTCCAATGGGAGGGATAATGGTAAAGATACCATTAAAATCAATTTATTAGATATTAGATAATAAAATGAATTACATATTGGTGCTTTTTATTGTTTTTAGTATTAATAATATGAGTTAACAATTTAAGAAATTAAAATGTTATATTTTTGTTTAGTTCAAAATGTTTAATATAGTTATAAATTAAACTGATGATTGTTTCTTCCATTTTAATCTTTAAATAATGTATTAACTAAATGTTAGAATAATATGTTTTTATCTGGTGAGTAACATTATATATGTAAGCAATCCTGGTGTGAATAACTAGTGCATTATGAGGGGAAAAAAACTCGTGTTATTTTTTCTCATTAATTAATGCCTGTCCATCAGCATGCAAGAACAAAATATAAAGCTGAGATATGCTCTGGGATCATGTTTTGACACCATTGGTGGAACACAGGCGATGCGGAATAAGAAAAGTAGCACGTGACTGTTGTATGTATACAAGGTCTTGCAAGTTAAATGTGTAAGTGCAGGGATTTAAAGACTGACATTGTAGACCATGTGCAAGGCATTAGAACAGTTTTCCACTTAACTTACTGTGTGTTACTGCTGTGATTAATAATTTCTGTACAAGCAGTTTTCCAAATTCTGAAATGACAAACTGATACGCCAGATGTAGATTTTTATTTTATTTTTTAATGTCAATTTATATAAAGTACTCGGAAATAAATAAACTATATAAAAATGAATTGATTGATAGAAAAAAGCCCAATGAGTCATTTCTAATTTTAAAGCTTGCTTTGCACAATATCTGTACGTTTTACTGGAGTTAGTGGAGCCATAGTATATCACATTAAGGCATTAGTTTAATTTAGTGATAATTGTAAGTAATTATTTCACTTATTGTAATTACAATTACTGCAAATGATACAATATTTTTTCAAACAAATTGAATACAAAATGTATTAACATTCCCCCTGAAATTAAAGATAAAAAAACACTTGAAAAGCACAAGAAGTTTCCAGTTTTTCAGGGGCTATCCATAAATTACATAATACAGATATGGATGGATGGGTATGCAGGTAATTGTTGTACGTTACAAAGAGGTAAGGATGTGAGGGTGTTTACAAAAAACATTATGTAATGCTAGAGTCTCAATCCTTGGGTAACAGAACGATTCATTTTTGTTTCTGAAGTGTTGCATAGTGAACTGTTTATGCCATTGCTTTTTACATTATACATGTAATTAATAAAATAATGTAATATTTATTATCCTAAACTGTGTGTTATTCCTTAGTGTGATAAAGGGGGTTGATGTATTAATTAACTTTGAAATTGGGAGGTCTTGACAGCATTACAGAGTGTTATAGGGATGGGACGGTAGTTGAAAAGTATAAAAATATTATTACATAAGTTATGATGTTAAAATAATTACTAAATTCAACCATAAAATTTAATAATCATGAAAGTAAACTGATTTTGGAATATTGAAATTCTCTAGAATAGTTATTTATGGCAGATGCTTTTGTATTTTTTATTTATGCGCAGGAAAATTTATAATAAATAAGATATTTTCTCATCCTAATTATGGTAACTACTAATGAATAAAATAATATATAGTGATGATCAATTACTTATAACAATTATATTTTTTTTAATAATGTGGTATGAGATTACTCAATAAAATAAACTATTTGTAAGTATAAATAATATAATATTAATATTTAATAATGATGATAACTTTTATAGCTCGTTGAAAAATTCCAAAGTATATTACTTCCTGGTTAAAGATATCTGATATAAGATGCAGAACGTTTTATTTAATTATATTATCTAAATTATTACTCTCCTGCTTACCTATTTCTTCAGGTTATTTTTTTTTATTTGTTTTATGATAGCATTGTCTTTGTTTTTTAGCAAAAAATAAATAATATGCTTTATACTTGTGGTGTTACTCTTTTACCTCTTCTTATAACAATTTGGATATTATGAGTAGGTAAATAAAACGAAATGGATAAAGTATATGTTAAAAGCAGTGCCGTAACTAGCTTTTTATGCGCCCGGCGCGAGCTTCTGTAACTATGACCCAAAACTTGGTCCAGGTCATTTCTGCGCCCCATACCTGGACACCGCTGGCACCGCCCTAGTTACGGCACTGGTTAAAAGATATATTTTAAGAAACGAAAGTTTTATATCTAAGTATTAATACTCTAAATTTGTGATGATTATTTGAGACGGATAGTGTCCACCAGTTCCACTTACTCCAAATTTATTTAATAACTAACAGATGGTAGAGTAGGTTAGCCCATAAAATGTAGGTGATTAATTAATTTTTCAAAAAATTTTTTACTCCTTTTATGTCAAATATAATCTACTTCATTACTATATTATAGATGAGATGGATGGAAGTGGTTCAGAATCTGACTTAGAAGATAATGCCGAACTGGATGATGATCCAAGATGTCATTTCCAAAAAGTGTGGAGAATTCGTGAAGAAAATCCAACGTTACCCGAAACAGTCACGTTACTGAGAACACCAGAGGGAAGCAAAGTTTATTTAGTCGGAACGGCACATTTTAGTTTAAGTAGTCAAGAGGATGTTGCAACAGTTAGTAACTTTTTAAAATTTATTTGTTTATAATAATTACAATATATTACATCAGAAAAATTACAAAAGACTCTTCTCTTATAAAAAAGTAAAAAATTAAATCTGTATTTATTCAAATTTGTGTAATTTTTGTAATAAGAAACAAAACGTTAAATAAAGTGTATTCGTAGTAATGCAATATAAAGAATACATTAGTATTATTTTAGAATTCATTTTACATGTTTGCTATGTAAAGAATTTTTCCTTGAAACATGTATGTTGTGCATTTATAATTGTTTTTAGAGCACAAAGATGATATTTATGATGAGTTTGATTGTGATAGGTTTTGTTTTTTTCTTTTTTCTCTAGTGTTTAAGTGTTTTTTATGCTGGATTTTTTAGGCTCTATTAAGCTACTAATTTAATAAAATCACTTGATTATGTTTCTATTTTTTGACTAAAACTTATGGTATGATAATTAGATTTGCTTTCCATATCTGGTCTTGAATTTCATTTATCTAACGGCCTTCTCGAGATTAAGAAAAGACGGACAGACGACGACGGTGGGAATTTATAGGTCTACAATTTTTTCAAATTGCAGCCCAATTAATATTTATTATAAAATTTATTAGCGGCATGATAAAGGTATTTTTAAGTGCTGAAAATATTTACAAATTTTTAAGAACTGTTACTGTTAAGGAATATTTGCTTTTTTTTTAAAGTTTAATTCAATGAATGTGGATTTTTATTAATTTGAAAGATTACAAAAAAGTGCAAGAGTCTGGTTTAATTTCAACAAATAATTAGTGTTGTTGTTGTTATTCATCTATTTTCTTCATCTAATTTATAAACGAAACTTAAATTTTATAAATTTATTAAAAGATTGTAATAAGAAATTGAAAAAAGTGTTTTCATATTTGTAATTTAATTGCTTTGTAGTAATTTTCATGATACAGTTGACCCCCTATAACACTGTTGATAATTCCGTTTTATATGAATTCCATGTTGTACGAGTCACTTAGATTTTACAAATACGTGTGCCGGGCTGTGAACGGCTCACGTATTTGTAAAATCTAAGTGACTCGTACAACATGGAATTCATATCAAACGGAATTATCAACAGTGTTATAGGGGGGTCAACTATACTAAAGTTTGATTATTAAAATTCTTTTTAATAATTAGACTTTAACAAGACAACATTTACATTACAGTTTTGTATATCTTACAATCTTTTCATATTTAAAATTGGTTTTGCTATTTAAATTGATAGTTTTTTTTATGGAGATTTAAATAAAAGATTTTAAAGATTTGTCTTTTGTCTTTTCTATGAAATTTTGAATGATTTAATTGTATATTATGTATATATATAGAGTTATAATAATATTATAACTGCACATACTTAAATTTTTGTTTAGAAATAAATAAATATATTTATTTTTTCTTTTAGACTATCAGAGCAACTCAGCCAGACATTGTAATGGTAGAACTCTGCAAAAGTAGAGTGAATATTCTTTCATTAGATGAAAAAACAGTTTTAGAAGAATCTAAGAATATGAACTTAGAAAAATTGAGAGCCGCAGTAAAACAGGTATTTTAGAAATCAAACTTATGTCATTTATTAAAAATTTTGTAATTATTACACATCTTTTATGTAATAATTATTTATTTTTAATGTAGAAAGATCTAAAAATATGAATAATTTTTAAAAGAATAAAAAATAAACTTATTAGAGATAAAAATACAGTGATACCTTAGTTTTTGTCGATAATTCGTCCGAAAACAGTTGGCAAAATCCAAAACCGATGAAAACCGAGGCAATTATTTCCATATGAATCAATGTAAATCCAATTAATTCATTCTAGACACTCCAAAATACATACCAAAAACACATTTTATGGAGAATAAATATTGTGTTTAATACCAAAAATAGTAATAAATTAATATAAAATGAATATAAAAGACTGATGTAAAGAATAAATGATCATTTAACGTGGAATTCGAAGGGCTGCTGGCTCTCGAAACTTTCTTTGGTCCCACGATGGAGCTAAAAGGAAAGAAAAGCAATGGAATTATTTGACTAGATGTGCAGAGTAATATTCACACAATGAAAAACAATGCCACACTGAGCAGGAAAATGCATGGAACACTGAGCAGGAAACATGCAATGCCACACTGAGCAGGAAAATCGCCCTTTTTTTAGCAAAATTGACAGCGAGGTCATGTGGGCGTGTGAACAAAACCGAGACAAATTTTTCGCGGAAAAAATCAACAAAAACCAAAACCGACCGTAACCAAAGTCAACGAAAACCAAGGTATTACTGTAGTCTTATATAGGACGATTCAAAATTCTCCATATATATGCAAAAAAGTTTATCTTAGGCAATCACTTATAAATCACAAAATGGTATGTGTAAATACCATTTAATAAATACATGAATGCTCTCCTATCATTCGTGGTGAAAGCATGCTATCACATCTGATATTATGTGTATACGTACATTGCAAGTACACCTCTTTGGGTGATCTGTGTTTATTTGGAAACTTGAATCACCATGTATATTTAAAAGATTTCTTTCTTGTTAATTTTTGTAAACATATTTGCTACGAGCAAAAAAAAAGTATATCAACATTTATTTTCTAGAATGGCTTAATACAAGGAGTAATGTATCTACTTTTGTTGAGTATGTCTGCACACTTAACTAAACAGTTGGGTATGGCACCGGGAGGAGAATTTCGTAGAGCTTTTTCTGAAGTAAGTTTCATCATACCATTTCATATATATTAATAGTTTTAGTCATTTTTTTAAATTATAAAGTATTTAAGTACTTTGACTTTATAATTATAAAGATCATTTATAATTTAATTATTATTTCAGGCTAAAAAAGTACCTGGCTGTTTAGTCCAATTGGGTGATAGGCCCATCCAGATAACATTACAAAGAGCTTTATCATCACTGTCTTGGTGGCAAAAGTTACGTCTGGCATGGTACATGTTAACATGCAAAGAACCGATAAGGTAATTTTAATAAGTTTATAAAACTAAAATTACAAAAATGTTATATAAATAAAACATTACCTCTCTTCACATTCATGGAATTAAATGATGTAAAATTGATCCCATTTTGTATATTGTATTCAAAAGGTAGGATTAGCAGTAGATAATAAGCTATAAGGTGTGAAACAATCACAATATAAGTCTACATTTTTATAGTATTCTATAACAGCAGGTGAATTTACAAATAAAAAATATTTCTTAATAAAAGAAGTTTATTTTAGAAATTATTCAAATGTATCATTAGTAATTCTAATACAGAACTCATAATAATTCTTAATGGGCATTCTAACAACTAAAAAACAAAAAATCTGTAGAGAGCATTTTGCTAAAATTATTTTGGTTTTTATTGCTGTTAATCAGATATTTGAATTACATCTATCCACTTGACCATTGAGATTTTTGTTTTTGTGCTTTATATATATTCAGTAGACCCCCCTATAACACAGGTTCATATAATGCGGATTTGTATATCGCAGCAAAAAAATTGCGACTGTATTCATATAAAGACGCTAAAAGAGACACATATAACGCGGTAAAACGTTATCACCGACTCGTGTCGCGACAGGATTGGTCGAATCTAGACCAATAGCGGATATTGCACAAATCGTTGAGTTTAAAGGAGCAGCGGACCTACTAAAAACCATTTATTATTTAACGTCCATAAAAATTATATTTATATTAATGATGTCTCCAAAGTTCAGCAAATTTTTCGCAGAAAAATAATTTATCAGGAAACACGCGCGCCCGGTTCAATGCATCGCTCCGCGATGTAAACAAGCTCAAGCAATGGCGTTGTCGAATGGTGCACATTCGGTAAGTAATCCTACAATTTTTTGTTTATAGCATAGTTTATATGGATTATTCCCAAGAAATTATACGTGTTTGGAAATGTTGAGTCAATTTAGTCTAGAATCGATTAATTTTATGGAAGAAAGCCTTTCAAACAGTCGTAGTTCGTAAAGTGCATACGTGCCAGGCTGTAATTGGCTCATGTATTTAAGGACTCGTAGAATATAAATTTCATAAAAAGTGGAACGTATCTACCGCATTATAGGGGGTCCACTGTATATAAAACTTTGAATGCATCTTGGCTTCAATTTTGATTATATACCTTTTTGGTCCAGTCTCCTGAGAGATGAACAAATGATACTCTACTGTAATTATCTGTTGATAATTCCGTTTTATATGAATTCCGCTCTACTGTAATTATAATAATAAAAATAATAGGAAAATATTTTAGTGTAAAATGATAAAAAGATAACTAAATATTAAGGTAATATAAAAAACTGCTAATAAGTACAGTAAAATTCCATTAACCTGGTATCTAATATGCCAGAAAACCTGATAAGCTGGCGTGTCAAACTCGTTGTTGCTGGAGAATTATCAGTACACTGGGATGGTCTGGAGTTAAGTCTGGAGGATTTATACAGTTTTACACACAAAGATGGGTAAAATTGTGTCCTGGGAATCAAAAACACCAGAAAAACCTCCACTGTCTGATAAAGTGGCATATTTGATAATTCGGCTCTTCATTGGTCCCAACAGTGTCGAGTTAACGGAATTCACTGTATCAAACTAAATAAATAATAATTGATATTTATAAAATAATAGTGTGCCAATTAAAAAATGTCATGAAAAATGAATTAATCAATTTATGCCATTATCGTTATCTTTTGGAAATGCAGAAGTATATAGTAGAGAGGTTGTGGCCAACATTTTCATTGCAAAAACATGTACGTCAGACGTGCAGCGCTGCTTTCCTGTAAACTTAGAAGTTTGAAAATGGCATTTGGAACGTTTGGAATGCTCGATGTATCAAATGCCATTGTCAAACTTCTAGGCTTACAGGAAGGCAGCGCTGAACATCCGACGTACATGTTTTCGTGATGAAAACGTTGGCCGCAACCTCTCTAGTATTTAAAATTGTCATAGGTCTAAGATAATTTATGTCATATTACTTTTAATTTTCATTTAAATGTTTAATTAATGTCACAATATAGAAAAGACTCTCCATATCTTTTTATGTTATTTAATATTGCATTATATACAATGAAAAATAATTGTGTTTTAAGTATTGAAAAAATTTATTCAACAGCAAAGAAGAAGTAGAAAAATGTAAGAAGAAAGACTTACTGGAAGAGATGTTAGCAGAAATGACTGGTGAATTTCCAGCACTTAGTCGAGTCTTCGTTAAAGAGAGAGACATCTATTTAGCTTATTCACTAAAATTAGCTGCCAGTCCACTAAATTCTTCATCAGCCAGTAGTAAATATTTAAATATCAAATGTTAATATATTATTATATGAATTTACATATTTAATTTTCTTTAAATAGCAGTTGTTGGTGTGGTGGGAATAGGTCATGTTCCTGGCATTGTAGAGAATTGGGATAAAGTTACTGAGTCTGATATCCTTCCAATATTGAAGTAAGTAATTAAATATTAATATAATTAGGAAATTAATAAAATAGAAAATTTAATTATATAAGACAATTTTATAAATAAAATAACTTTAGTTAGTTATTAGTTTTCTATATATTTTCCCCAGAATAAAAATGGAGCCAATGTTTATTAGTCCTACATTCATGAAGGAAAATAATTTTATGTTCGTTATGAAGTAGAACAAAATATATAGAATGCGTATTAGAGAAATTTATTTCAAAAATTCAAACATTACATTTTAAAGAATTCTTGTTTCTTTGGTTACAGCGGCTACGATACATGGTATCATGACACATTACAATGTGTATCATGATACCATGATACACATTGATAACTTATTCAGAATGATGGTTAATTCGTTTTACAGGCGACTCCCCCTATAACACTGTTGATAATTCCATTTTATAAGAATTCCATGTTGTACGAGTCACTTAGATTTTACAAATACGTGAGCCGTTCGCATCCCGGCACACGTATTTGTAAAATGTAAGTGACTCGTGTAANGAGAGATGAACAAATGATGCTCTACTGTAATTATAATAATAAAAATAATAGGAAAATATTTTAGTGTAAAATGATAAAAAGATAACTAAATATTAAGGTAATATAAAAAACTGCTAATAAGTACAGTAAAATTCCATTAACCTGGTATCTAATATGCCAGAAAACCTGATAAGCTGGCGTGTCAAACTCGTTGTTGCTGGAGAATTATCAGTACACTGGGATGGTCTGGAGTTAAGTCTGGAGGATTTATACAGTTTTACACACAAAGATGGGTAAAATTGTGTCCTGGGAATCAAAAACACCAGAAAAACCTCCACTGTCTGATAAAGTGGCATATTTGATAATTCGGCTCTTCATTGGTCCCAACAGTGTCGAGTTAACGGAATTCACTGTATCAAACTAAATAAATAATAATTGATATTTATAAAATAATAGTGTGCCAATTAAAAAATGTCATGAAAAATGAATTAATCAATTTATGCCATTATCGTTATCTTTTGGAAATGCAGAAGTATATAGTAGAGAGGTTGTGGCCAACATTTTCATTGCAAAAACATGTACGTCAGACGTGCAGCGCTGCTTTCCTGTAAACTTAGAAGTTTGAAAATGGCATTTGGAACGTTTGGAATGCTCGATGTATCAAATGCCATTGTCAAACTTCTAGGCTTACAGGAAGGCAGCGCTGAACATCCGACGTACATGTTTTCGTGATGAAAACGTTGGCCGCAACCTCTCTAGTATTTAAAATTGTCATAGGTCTAAGATAATTTATGTCATATTACTTTTAATTTTCATTTAAATGTTTAATTAATGTCACAATATAGAAAAGACTCTCCATATCTTTTTATGTTATTTAATATTGCATTATATACAATGAAAAATAATTGTGTTTTAAGTATTGAAAAAATTTATTCAACAGCAAAGAAGAAGTAGAAAAATGTAAGAAGAAAGACTTACTGGAAGAGATGTTAGCAGAAATGACTGGTGAATTTCCAGCACTTAGTCGAGTCTTCGTTAAAGAGAGAGACATCTATTTAGCTTATTCACTAAAATTAGCTGCCAGTCCACTAAATTCTTCATCAGCCAGTAGTAAATATTTAAATATCAAATGTTAATATATTATTATATGAATTTACATATTTAATTTTCTTTAAATAGCAGTTGTTGGTGTGGTGGGAATAGGTCACGTTCCTGGCATTGTAGAGAATTGGGATAAAGTTACTGAGTCTGATATCCTTCCAATATTGAAGTAAGTAATTAAATATTAATATAATTAGGAAATTAATAAAATAGAAAATTTAATTATATAAGACAATTTTATAAATAAAATAACTTTAGTTAGTTATTAGTTTTCTATATATTTTCCCCAGAATAAAAATGGAGCCAATGTTTATTAGTCCTACATTCATGAAGGAAAATAATTTTATGTTCGTTATGAAGTAGAACAAAATATATAGAATGCGTATTAGAGAAATTTATTTCAAAAATTCAAACATTACATTTTAAAGAATTCTTGTTTCTTTGGTTACAGCGGCCACGATACATGGTATCATGACACACATTGATAACTTATTCAGAATGATGGTTAATTCGTTTTACAGGCGACTCCCCCTATAACACTGTTGATAATTCCATTTTATAAGAATTCCATGTTGTACGAGTCACTTAGATTTTACAAATACGTGAGCCGTTCGCATCCCGGCACACGTATTTGTAAAATGTAAGTGACTCGTGTAACATGGAATTCTTATAAAACGGAATTATCAACAGTGTTATAGGGGGATCAACTGTATTTCTAATAATTTTTATAGCTCTTTTAGAAGTATTTAAATCAAGTAGTAATTTTTTTTTTTTTGGATTTTTGAATAAAAATTATAATAATAATAATTATTATTATTTTTATTCTTTCAGAATTCCAGAATCATCGCTTACAACAAAAGTTCTTTGTCATACTTTTCGCATCTCTCTACTCGGACTGACCGTCTGGGGCTGTTACCGTTACCTCCTTCCTTCGTCGCTTACCGATGTCATTCTGTCACGTCGTCCCTTTGAATGGATTTCGCAACTGTTCAGCCACTGATTGTATAAACTTTAATGTATTATGATCTTTTACTGGAAAAATTAGCCTTCCATTTTTTGATAGATGAGAAGAGCCATCAAAAAATAGAAGATTAAAATAATGGCTCGGTGATAGAATTATCAAAAAGCCAAAGATTGAAAGTAGAATTTTTTTTTTTTAGTTAGAACTTTAAACATGTTTTATTAACGATTTTGAAGTGACACTTTTGTTAAGTATATGATTGTGTATTTGTTGATAATTTTATACCAGACTTTACTCTTTAATTGTTTTGATAACTGAACAAACTATATTATTTATGTTTAATGATAGATTTAGCTTATTATTTAAATAATTCGAATTAAATCTAATCTAATCTAATCATTTTAAATTCAGTTTTTTTTTTTTTAAAACCTATTTTTATGACACAGAAAAAATAATAAAGGATGATTTGTGCAATTAAATATACAGTATAATCATCAAACTAGACTATATTTGATATAATTAATTCCTTATTATGGTTTAATATTTGTTTTATCGCCACGAACTCCGAGAAATGAATGCAGAAACAGAGTTTAGCCGTATTACATTACGAATATTCTAATAATTTTAGAATATAAAAAAAAGCATTATCTTTAAAAGAAAAATGTTTCCAGTTTTTAAGTTAATCTTCCAGTTTTGTAAAATAAATTTTTGGTAATAAAATTATATCTTTGTTAACTCCATTAGATTATAGACTCGAGAAGACGTTTCGGTGGAGTTACAAGAAAAGAATCGTCTACAGATTTGTATACAGACTGTAGTGCCATGGTTAATTGTCAACCTATCCATATTTTATCGAATTCCTCACAAAGAAAGAAGAAAAACTATTTTGTTATATATCAAAAAAAAAAGAAACCATAAAAAATTTTCTACAAGATATATATTAATATATACAACTGCCATTTTTTGCCTATAATTTCCAGATATTCAAGGTAATTTTGAATACGCCTTAAGAGTAAAGACAGTTAGCCGTAAAGAATGCCAAAAAAAATATAATAAAATAACTCAAAACTTGTAGATTTTTGTAAGTTTTTAAATGGTGTTTCATGAATTTAAACCTGCATGGTGTTTGGGACTGTACAAAACTAGACAGGAGACAAATAAAAGTTTTTAAATAGCAAAAAAAAAAAAAAATTAGTACTGTATTCATCAATATTAAATCAAAATTTATTGTAGAATCATTGATAAGATCTTACTTAGCTTTTATTGTAGTAAGAGCAATTCAGGAAATGTTAAACATACAACTTGGTACAATAAAACTTGTTACTACCAAACACTGTTATACTTAGTATTGTATTAATACATTTAAAATAAAATCGACCACGCCTGTTTTCTTCACAATTGGTAAACATCTGTACCAACACACTATGTTAAGTCTTATTCAGTAAAAAAAAAATTCAACACTACCAAAACACAATACAGTCGACCCCCATATAACACTGTTAATTATTCCGTTTTATATGAATTCCATGTTGTAGGAGTCACTTAGATTTTACAAATACCTGAGCCTTTCATAGACCGGCACACGTATTTGTAAAATCTAAGTGACTCGTACAACATGGAATTCATACAAAACGGAATAATAGTGTTATAGGGGGGTCGACTGTATAATAATAATATACCATAAAATTAATATTCTGCACAACCCGAAATAACTGTAGTACATATAACACCAATTACTGTGTTCACGCCTCATTCATCGACTTAATTTTGGCCTGAGAGATGAAAATCTAGTTTTTTTTAAGCTACATAATAGCAGTTGTCGACACTATTTTTTTAATTTTACAGTATGGAACATTTTTCACGTAAATATTAATAAGTTTGTAATATTTACAAGCTCTATTAAATTCATCGAGCGAATAATTAAATTTGTGGAAGCAACCGAAACGATTATTTTATCGTTTTATCTTGTCCTCCCCTCTCTCCTTGGTACATTTATTATGACTTTTTTTTTTTTTTCGTGTCTTTCGACCGTCGTGTTATAAAATATCGTTCTTAATCAAATATGAACGAGTAGTAAAGAAAATGATGCGGTTCGTTGATCATCCGAGTCGAACTTGCGCCCACCCAACGCAATTAAAGAAGCTGTGGTTTTCTCCTGCCGTTTCCAGTTTATGCAATTATGTTGTGTAGGAACGACGATAGAATGCGACTTGGCAGATAAATATATTGCAAAATGATCGACTCTTCCAGCAACAGACTCCGTTCAATCGTAAGTTTTCATTAATATATTCATTTTAATTTAAATAATATGATAGGGAGCGAATTACATTAACTTGTAAACAACTGTTTTCTTTGATTTATTCCTTTTGTTCGAATGTATCAAGGTATTTGCAAATTGGCATTTTATTTATTTAATAAAAATTCGGTATTTTAAGGCAAAAAAAAGGCTTTTATTTCTTGGTTTATAAAAAGGCTCCTCGACTTAACTCTTCTGACATTTACTCAATAGCATTTACAGTGAATTAAAGTTTTATTGTATGACGTTCAGCCCGATGAACTTACATTTTGAAGCAATTCTTCACATTGTTTTGCTGCCATTAAGTAAAGAGATACTGATTTTAGTTCCGCATGTAAAACTAGGACTTTCTTAAAATTTTGTTATTCAGAATGGTATCAAAGGAAATGGTTTTTTTTTATTTATTTATTTAGTAGAATGAGAATTTATATTGTTACAGGCGGAAAAGTTCCGTTTAGTTAATCAAATATAGCTTCCTGATTTTATTTTTACCAACTTAGATGCGGATGTATAAAATGTATCGCGTATAACCCGCAGTATTTTTAGACAATAGAGAGGTTGCGGCCGACGTTTACATCGCGTAAACGTGTACGTCGGACGTTCAGCGCCGTCTTTCTGTGAGTTTAGAAGTTTGACAATGGCGTTTGGAACGTCAGTGGAATCATGCTCGACGTTCCAAACTCCATTGTCAAACTTCTAGGCTTACAGGAAGGCGGCGCTGAACGTCCGACGTACACGTTTACGCGATGAAAACGTCGGCCTCAATCTCTCTAATATAAGAAGAATCTGCGGCGTTACAATTAAGTATGAAAATTCTGCATAACGGCATTATTATACAACTAATTACATTGAAAAATAGCGAGGTTGCGGCCGAAGTTTTCATCTTTAAAACGTAAACGTGGAGCGCAGCTTACAAGATAGCGGCGCTCGACGTTCGACGTTTTACAGATGAAAACGTCGGCCGCAACCTCTCTAATATTTTAAAAAAACATAACTATTCCTATGTAAAAATGATTGCATAATAATCAATTATGTTTTATCTCGGCTGGTGCAGAATCCAATCTAAAAATCGAATGCTAATTACAGTAATTACATGTAAATTCACCGTCCCTACGAAAATTTTTATCTTCATGCACGACGATCACCCTAATATTTCTTGGCCCGTTTCGAAATAGAAAATGATATTTATCGTAGTTCAACCTCATTCAGCATAGTAATTACGATATTGTAAATAACGTGGAAAACTTCAAAAACAAGCTAATTACACAGCCAAAATTCTAAATCGTCTGCGTAACTTTCTGTCCATTCAGTAAGTGAATTAGATGATGTACTAAAGATACACAGTACTAAGTAAATCGTACTACTTGGACACGCTTCTTGCTCTTCAATAGTTACGTTCTGCTCCATTATCAACAGAGGAGGGGGAAAAAATGTCGTTAGGTACTAAAGGTGATTTTATTCTTTTCCTCCGAAATATCAGGATAATTTTTCCATGTCACGCTCGCACGAGATCACGTGTACTGTACTTCCTTCCCCTCAACAAAATTTCTACTTTCGCTTGTTTTATTTTATTCTTTGGGACGAATTGTAGTGTAAGAATTGCGTGTAATGGCCACGTAATTTCATTTTAACGGATCTTCCGCGATTTTTATGGACACGAGAGATGTAAAATTTTTATACAAAAGAAAAAAACATTGAAGTGTATATAAATTAATTGCCTCAGCAACTATCTATAGCGTCAAAACTGATGGTGACAATCAGCGATGTATATACGTTTATATCAGTAAAGAATAGCACAATTAGAATTTTTACAAATACAGTCGACCTCCCCCTATAACACTGTTGATTATTCCGTTTTATATGAATTCCATGTTGTACGAGTCACTTAGATTTTACAAATATGCGAGCCGTTCACAGCCTGGCACACGTATTTGTAAGATCTAAGTGACTCGTACAACATGGAATTCATATAAAACGGAATAATCAACAGTGTTATAGGGGGTCGACTGTAATTTTTTTAAGTTCTGTAATTAGTAACTGTTTAATTAATGATATTACTTATTTCCAGGTGTTGTTTTTAATGTGTTATAAAGTATATTGCGATAACGTGACTTCCATCGATGACGGCGATGCTACTACAGTAGTGAAGGTTAATGGGAATACAACATTGACACCTTCTAGTATGACAATTTTGAATCAGATCCTTAAAAATTTAGAAGATTTTGGAGATCATAGGATAAAAGAATTGGATAGTTTGAGTGCTAAACAAAGCAAACTTTCTATTGGAAACATCTCAATATCCGATCAGATTCTTTCTTTAAGAGATGGATTATCGTCTTTGAAACCGATCAAGAAGACGTTTGGTTATAAAGTGACAGTTGTTAGATCACCAATTACTGGTAAATATATTTATTAATATTTAATTTGAATATTCTAATCCTGTAATGGCGAAACTTTTTGAGTCTTATGCCGTATAGTCAATATACGTGTACCTTTAAAAATGTTTGTATGTGCCGAAGTTTGACTTCGAATTGCGATACAGTAGACACCCCCTATAACACTGTAGATAATTCCGTGTTATAGGAATTCCGTGTTGTACGAGTTACTTAGATTTTACAAATACGTGAGCCGTTCACAGCCCGGCACATACATTTGTAAAATCTAAGTGACTCGTACAACACGGAATTATCTATAGTGTTATAGGGTGGATTTACTGTATTTATAGAAATAAAATGAATGTGCTTTAATTAATTAGAATAGAAGAAGCTTAGAAACTTGTTAAAAGGATGATCATCGAGGTGATAAACCGAAATAGCACGATACACTACGTGCCAATTTGGGCACATATGTTATATATTATAGTTCTAACGTATAGAACTCTTTTCACTAAATCTTACTTTTGCAGAATCCTTTAATAATAATATTTTTAGGAATTTATTGGAGGAATTTTAAAGTCCGGACTCGATCTCGGGTCCCTTAGAAAGCACACCGACACTTTAACCTCTCGGCCATCCGGCCAACGTTAATGACTTGGAAACTACTGAAAATGTCGTGCTGCCCCAGAGTTTTTACCGATTAGTTTGAATATAATTGTTAATAACAAAGTTAATGTTATTCGAAAACTTTCAGAAGAGAAACCATTAGTTTTTAAAGAATTTTTCGACTCGGAAGAACCCGTCAATGATACGAATAATGGAGACTTATCCTCATCAAATAGCGATTCTCACCATTCGGTTGTTCCTGTTCCACCGAACTACGTAGCGAAGTAATTTCACTTTTATGTTCTTTGTTTTATTTTGTTACGTTTTCGTTCTCACGAAACTGTAAATTTTGTAGCTCCGAACCTCGTGTAGTTAAGAAAGTTGGAGATCACGGTAAGAAATTTGAAGAATCTCTACTGAAAACTCATCATCACGATAGAGGTTTGAGTGAGGGAAAGACAAAGATTCTAAAACACGATGCCGAAAATCACGGTAGCAAATATGGCCACCATCATCACCAAGAAAATAAAAATTCTCACAATCGTGGAGAATACGGCCACGACAAAGGAGGGATCAGCCAGACTGGAGTTAGAGAGAGGACTCAAATTGAATTTTTCGAAAAGGGTACGGCACATTAAAATATTATAAGAATAAAATATTCATTTCATTGATTGTTTACGTAAATTTTATTCCTTAGAACACTTTTTGGATACAGAACACGATAAAGCTAAAGGTGGTCACGAAAATGTCAATGGACACACCGAAAGTAAAGTCCAGGATAAGCATTCGAGCCAACAACATCAAAAAACACATAGTGATCACGATAGTCACTCGAGGCATAAACACGTCGATGGGGCACAGATTGTCGAACCACATTATTCGGACTTAAGAGGCCACGTAAATCATTACGGTCATCCAGCACCTCATCAAAAGAAAGAGCATGTAGTTGCTGGAGAAAATGGGGCTAGAACTCACCATAGCAATCAAGAATCGTCCAAACATAGCGATTCTCACGGCAAACATCATTCGTCTGAAAATAACGAAGATAGAAGTTACTACAACAAAGATAAAGGTCGTACCAAAGAAGGTTACAGGGAGAGAGGTTATAAAATTACTACAGAACGCGAATACTTTCTAAAAGGTAAGAATATCATTATTTATATTTTAAACTAGAAGTAAATTTTCAATGTTGTTAAATATTTTAGACGCCCATCACGATACCGGATTCGGTAAACACAATAAAGGTCATCAAGCATCTCTATTAGATAAAGGTCGCCATGGTAGCGAAGGGGGAGAAAGGCATAGAGATTTCAAGAAAGTGTTGCAACATCACGATGCACACGACGTTGCTTCCGATAAGAAAGTGGGTCATCATCAAGACATCGAGCATCACCACGATGCCGGTTACGTACAGAATCAAGAGAATCATCCGAAATCGGAATACTTGCAAGGTTCTTCTAGTGGTAACTACTTGATAACTCAAAAGAGAGAAGGCGAATTGTCCGAAAATAAAAATACAAAATGTAAAACTTGTTGCCGAAAGTATGCCAATGCGAAAAATTTTACGTCCCTCATCACTCCACGTCGAATAGGAGATCAACAGAACGTTACAGAAATAAAATTAGATAAAAGAAACAGCACCGATTACAGATCAACGGGTACACGTAATCCAATTTTCAATAGAGACACTACGAATAAAAATAATTTCTTACGATCCGAGAAGCATCAAAACTATTTGAATAATAGAAGACGGATGAAGGGAAAGATTGTAAGGTTGCGAGTCCCTACAAGGTTACAAGAAGCTAACAATAGCTCTAGTTATAATACACATAAATCAAAATTGAAACAAGATGATGAAGTGATTTCTCATCTACCTAAGGATATTATTCGTGATAAATCTGAAAAAGATATTCAAATACCTCATCAAAATCGAGATTTGTATCATAGTGTTACCGACATTTACCCAAAAGTTTATAAATCCAACAGGACTAAGAATAATCCGGAAAAAAGTGTAGCGGAACGAAAATCGGAGGCGTTTGCAAAGTATAAAAACATTCCAAGATTAAACGATCGTGTTTTACCAATTCCGTTCTTAACCCTGTATGGTGTAACGGGTAAAAGTTTACGTTATGTGAACTCCAAATCTCGAAAAGGTAATGAGAAAACAACTCCCATCACTAGAATGCCCATATCTGAAGTAAGATACGTAGACGACGATCCATCTTTTACACGGCCACAAGTAGACGAGTTGCTTGTTTCGCAAGTTAAGTACGTGGATGATGAACCAACTACGATACAATCTATACTGGATAAAATACCCGTTTCTGTAGTTAAATACGTAGATGAAAAGTTACCTCAAGTTCCGCCAAAATTAGAAAAATTTCACAGATTAAAGATGAGACCTGCGATCATTCCTAAGAGTGTCGATGGTACATACGGTGCCAAGGTTACTGAAGAATTACCAACTTACAGAGACGATCCTAATTACGATCGTACTCGTAAGTATCATCAACCCATCTTTGGTGTTACTTCCACAACTCCGGATCCATCTCCAGAAGAACATTTAATAGGAATTAAAGAGGATGAGGCTAACAGGGAAGAAAAACACAAATACAGTCAGCCATTGTTACCTCCGGACACTCATATAAAACATGGAATTTGGTATCCAGAAAAATTATAATATGTTTTTTTTTGTATAAAATTGTTTTTAATGAAATTAAATTAATTGATATAATTGAATATGATAACTTAAGTATAGTTAATCGTTGGCGCGTAACAGATTTAATACAAGCAGAACAAGCAGTGAACAGAATAGAGATCGTGCGAGTGACACATTCAACGGTCCATACTTTCTTAAGCATAGTTTAGTAGAGGTAAATTCAAATGATTGTATAGATTACATATATTTTTGATCATTTAAGGCCCTAAATCTAAAAGTACGACCCCCCTATAATACTGTTGATTTTTCTGTTTTATATGAATTCCGTGTTGTACGAGTCACTTAGATTTTACAAATACGTGAGCTGTTCACAGTCCAGTACACGTATTTGTAAAATCTAAGTGACTCGTACAACATGGAATTCATATAAAACGGAAAAATCAACAGTGTTATAGGGGGTCGACTGTATAAGTGTAGGAGGTAGGACAACTGAGTGCTGTTGTAGGAATGACTAGAGTACCAAAAGTAGGGCATGTTGATGAGAAGAGATATATCGAATGAACTGTAGGATGAACCCTTCAAAAAAAGATGATTTAAGCGAATACAAGTGCCTAATACCAAAGTAAATATAGAAAAGTTTTAAATGTTGATGACTTTTTAAACGCTTCTATTAATGAATTTCATCTGAATTACCCACTCAACCGCTACTTCTTGATGATTTTGATGGTTTGATTTATCGTTTAAATTCTATATTTAGGAAAATTATGCAATGGGGATGAAATATTTTTCAAAATGTATTCTGTTTGCTCTATTTAGATTGAATTCGCGAAATACGAATTCCTAAAAGCAATAGTAATTTATCCCCCAAGCGAATGTTATCGTCGATGATGTAAAAATGATAAAAAATACGATTAAATTTTGTTTAGAAAATAGAAAAAAGCTTGTCAAACGTCCTAAATATAAGATTTTCCGTTTAAATCTCGAAACGGGTACGAAAATACAATAAAGTAACTATATATAAAATTAGTAGAATGCGATACTTATCTAAGGATAAAAGAAAAAAAAAGGAAATTACATAAGTTATGAAAAGTAGGTTAAGTTATTTAATACATATAATTCTTCGCGTGTTTTAATCTATTGTTTCATTAGTAGAATTGTGCAAAGATATAAAAAATAACCTATGACGATCTTCATTTAATTGAGCAGCTTAAAGGCGAGAGTAGCGAATGAACTGAGTTGTAGACACAACGACCATTGTTTATAATGGGCAATCTTCACTACAGTGAACACAGGTTACGCGAACGTGTAATCTGTGATAGCCGGTAAGCATATTAATGTACGCACGAATGAACATTAACAACAACAACGACAGAAGAATACAAAGTGATATACAGTCGACCCCCCCTATAACACTGTTGATTATTCCGTTTTATATGAATTCCATGCTGTACGAGTCACTTAGATCTTACAAATACGTGTGCCGGGCTGTAAACAGCTCACGTATTTGTAAAATCTAAGTGACTCGTACAACATGGAATTCATATAAAACGGAATAATCAACAGTGTTATAGGGGATCGACTGTACAGTATTATTTTCGCGCATACTACAACAGAGACTCCAGAAGGCTTCGCTATTCAAACAGGTGTAACAAGAAAATTAATTGTTCTTGTAAATGTTTTTAATCAGCGGAATTATATCAATCTAGCAGCGAACCGAAGAAAATGACGGTTAAATACTATAAATGAGCGTTTTCTTTGTACTCTTTTCGCTCTGTGGGCACTTCCTTTCAAGGCCGTAATGGATTAGATTAAGCCCACAATGGAACGGCCGGAAGGTAAAAGATGAAACACAACATATCCTGTTTTGGACCACCGCGCGAAAATTTCGCGGGGATTTTCAATCTCGATACAGCTTGAATGAGAAATTAAATCGTAGCCTGATCTGTGTTGTTTGTATACGGCCACGAAGCTGGTGGGAAATATGCCGAGTGTGGAGGACCCTCTATGGGAAACTGGATGCTATTTACATGCTAAAAACGCTTCATTGGGCCTAGGTGAATTTGAATTAGAAGGCCCCATTTACAGTGTTGACTTGGACACTTTTCTTTGGGGAAAATATTTTCTTATAAAATATCGATTTGTGGCTCCCTGTTAATGGGAACCCTGGCACAAAAGGGCAATTGCTCTTTTTTACTCAATTTTATGAACTCATCACTACCCTCAAAATTAGACGGACCCCCGTCCCTCAACACTCGGCCTCCCCATTGTGAGCCTGGCCGAACCCGTGCTAAAAGAGGCTCTCTTAGTGCCCGCAGGACAAAGAGTTTTAAAAAATACCCTCAAAATTACGTCTTGCCATTTTATAATAATAAAAAATATANACTAATATACTAATTACATGGGATATAATAATATACTACACTAATAATGGATTTTTTCATACTTTTCGGTTATCCGACTTTTCAATTATCCGACCAACCCCAGTCCCCAATTAGGGCGGATAATCGAGGTTCTACTGTAAAACTGTTTCGTGCATTCGTTTGTCAGTCTGTATGAATTTTTGAACACTAAAAGAGGTTATAAAGTTAAATTTTTAGAAATAAATGGATGTGTCCACTAAAAGGTTTCATGTAAATCTTACCCTCTAATCGTAAATTTCTGAAAAATCTTGCAGAATTTAGTATATAAATATATTTTATTGCTGTTATTCTGTTTGTGTTACACCATTTTATCTACAAGTGGCAATATTAACGTGAATTTTTTTGTGATAAAACCTGGAAATTATTTTTTTTTCTGCTTTTTGAAGTTCATTACGCACGAAAGGCTACTTTAATTAAATATATTTGAATATAAATAAAAAAAAAGAAAATTACATTATTTGTTTACGATCGAATCTTTGATGTTTGATAGATAAATTTAATGAAATTCTAGTGAAATTTAGCTGGCATCCGTTAAAAATTCCTCGAAAAATTAAAAACTTCCGTTAACGTGGAAGTAAATAAGTTTACTGGTTATCGTAACAATTTCATTCAATTAACCGAAACAATTTCAAAAAAAATCTATTATTGATTTTTTAAAATTTAAATATTAACTTATATGTTATTTGCAATGTTAAAAGTTTATTTTTAAGTAAGAATAGCATTTTTATATTTTCTCAATGTGATCTTCTTTCTGTGAGATCCGGATTTTAGAAACATTTTTTTTCCTCCTAATTGTCTAAGTATTTCATCTCATATTTTTTTTTTTTTTACTGACTCGTTAAAACAACATCTCAGGGAAAGAAGGTCGAATATCCCATCAACAACTATAGAAATGTATAACTGTCCTTTAAGAATGTAAACAGTCTCCCATCCAAACGTCGTCAAGCTAATATTGCAAGACATAAGTTTACAGTTATCATCCGATTTCTTAACTTTATTATGGTCCCGGGGACACCTATGACCTAAACACTTGCTAAAGTAACCTTTGCTTTAGACAACATTAAACACCTGACTTATTTTTCCAAGCCTAACAAATAAAAGGCCCCCATCAGGGGAGTCCCTGACGGAACGCTAGAAGAATGACATGGAAGAAATTCACCGAAGAGCTGTATTTCCAAATTGCTTTTGACGAGTGCGATCCGGAGTCTCAGTCACGACTTTGATAATTGGTGCGTCGCATCAAAGAAAGGACGAATTCGAACCTCCGTGGAATTGTCAAAGAGGTATGATAACAAACTGTGTAAACTCTCTCTTGGTTCCCCTTTAACTTGTACTCGAGAGTTAGGGAATCTCGATAAGTATTTCGATGTTCGTATTTGTAAGTTTAGCTGTTATCCAATAAATTTTTGGTTTTCTTGTTAAATGGTATCAGTTACTCGTTTATTGCCTACGCCTTACCGACGACCCCTCTCTCCTCCTTCATTCGACCTGACAAAAAGAATCCCGACCCCTCGGGATCATAAAACGTAAACCAGCCATCCACTGACAAGTGGGCAGTTTCTACCAAACTGTTGCCGAGAAAGGGACAAGACATCCGCCTTGCCTCTGGCTACCCACATTTCCAAAAAATCTTCATATAATAATTATAATTAAGGTTTTTTTGAAAGAGTAATGATGACGCTCTTTCTAAAAACATTTTTTTTATATATAAAAAAATCCAAAAAGGAGACTAAAATATGATTATTTATTCTAAAAAATCCCAATACCCGGGCGCGTATTTATCAAATTAGAATGGATTTTATTGGATTTTTTGGCAACTTTCGTTTAAAATGTAAGAAAATTTCCATGTTTTAAAAGACAGAATCATTTCTAAAAATGGAAAATTTTCATTTCGCAACTAACGTAACCAGGATTTCCGAGTTTTATCTCTGAATCTTTCGTTTTTTGTGTGTGATTTCTCCGTACAATCTTTCATTGATAGTAAAATATTCCAAAAAATATCTAAAAGTTTACTTATATAGGCTATGTGTAAATATACACGAAACATTCCATTTAGAGAAAATTGGAATATTTTGGCTTATGGCCCGGTTAAAATTCAAAAAACGCAATTTTTATCCAAAAAAAACTCACCTTGATATTCTCAATCAGCTGGGCATCTTCACTAATTGTATTTTTTATAGCAACGATAATACCTTTGTAGCCGTTACCTTCCAAATCGATTAAAGAACCATTCAGAAAAGGTAAGAAGATCAAGAGAACGTGGAGGACGTGCCTTAAGTACTTCTAAAAAACACGTATTAAATTACATATACACAAACATACAACATCAAAGAAAAGTGCGTAACATCTTACCATTTCGTTATTAAATAATATTTAAGAATTAATGCAGAATTTTAACGTTTCTACGTCCGGAAATAGGAGTGTTATTTATTTCCTTCTTCCTGTAAATCAAGGATAGGATAAGTTACGATATCCGCTAAAAATTCTGTTTCTTAACTTGCGTAACCATCAAAATGTTTACATTATACGATAAAGTGTATCGAGAATTTCTCCACTTTCTAAAACACAACCTTCAATAAAGTGATATATACAAATAAATCACACTCTTCTTTATTCTAACATAACAAGGCGTAACCTTGAACCAAAAAACACGCTTCTTAGTGCAATATGCCGCTTTTCAGTGATTTATTTGTATGTACGCTTGTTACCTCATTCTAGCGTAACGAAAGTATCAAACGGCGTAACCTAGATCCAAAAGAAATCCCGTCGAGTCGAGTCGTAACTCTGTAAAGTGATTTTTTTTGTATGTATATCGAAGCTTTGCACTTCTCTCACCCTTTACCATAGCGCAACAAGGCGACAAAACGACGTAACCTCGATCCGAAAAAACACGTCTACAAAAAATACCCTCAAGCGTATTCGTAACATCGTTACTCCATCGTTAAAAATGGGATTAACTTACATTCTACAAAATCGCGTCAAATAAAATTTTGATGGTAACACTTACAGAATATATTTTTGACTTTTCTAAAAATACACACGTTATAACGATCCAAGGACTGGGGTGTGACTGATCTAAAGGTTGTTTTAGCACGTGGGTTATCCTTTTGAATCTTCTACACCCTTAATAATCAAATAATAATCATTTGTTTTTTAGGAAAAAATTTTTTAAAAACATTTTTATGACTCTCTTATTTGGTTTAACGAAATGAATCATCGTTGCGGTTTTTTAGATAATTTATTGAAGTTTTGTTTGATGTTACGCTATCAATTCTGTCAAAGTGAGCGTGGGTGTCGCACAAGTTGCCAATAATTTTAGTGACTAATGCATGATGATGAAAGTAAATATAGTTGAATTTAATTTCTTAATTTATAAAAAAAAAAAAAAAAAAAAAACTTAAAACTTTAAAACTTACGTTTTTGAAGAATAAAGTGTTTATCTCCTCTTTCCAGAATACCGAATACAGTTACATTGGTGCGTTGTCACCTGTACCATATTTTCCTGTTTTACTTCCTTCTCCTCGACAAAATCTTGTAAACCTTGATTTAAAAAAAAAAAAAAACTAACTAAAGTACTGTAACCTGTAAACTAATAAATCAACTAAAGTTACGTTTTTATTACAAATTATTTTAGTTACGTTTGTTATACAGTACATCACCTCATTATACTGTCTGTATACAGTACACGTATCTAGAACTCGCATTCGTTAGTTACGATTAGGATCTAGCTCTCGTCATTTACATGAAATCGATTTTTTTACGATCACCTAATAAGTAAGTTAATAATAGCATCACTCAAAATTAACAGCATTTTGTCATAAGTTACAAATAGTTACGGCCGGATGGTCTGGGCGGTTAAAGCTTTAGTCCACCTCTCTGGGGACCAGGGATCGAATTCGGGCAAATATCTCCCCGAGAATTTTTACGTGGGCGGTCCGACCTCACCACTCGATCGTCCCCGTTGTGGGCCTGGACAACCCACGATGGCCAGGGAAAAAAGTCCTTTTAAGGCCCGTAGGACGGAGTCAAACGTGAAAAAATGGTGAGGTATAGTCAAATTCTGCAGTCAGTTACATCCAGTCTTGTTATTGCGATATGTAATGGATCTATTAATCATCATTTACTTTAATATACTCATCATTTTACTTTTACATCATTATCTATTAATCATCATCACTTTTAGTCCTCCTCGTCAGTTACATCTAGTAAAGTTTACTACAATTAGTTAAATCTAAATAGTATATAGTAAGTTACATGTGGTAGACTAGGCCTACTGCGATCACATACATATGCAGTCTAATATTTCAGTACATTTACTCTCGTCGCAACTAGTATAGCTAGTTCTAATCAGTTACATACAGCCTAGTAGATCTGAATACACCTTACTCTCGGTTACTGTAGCCTACATCTAGTAGACTTTATTGCTGTCAGTTATATCTAATAGAGGCACGTTCGCCAGTTACTTAATTAAGACATCACGTACAGTTGACTCTGTTCTTACATCTACACTCATCATTTGCATATAGTGGACCTTACAGTAATTGCATCAAATAGAATACATCACTTACAGCTAGTAGACTTCATTCTCGTTAGTTACGTGCTTTTGAAACTCATCGTTACGCCAAGACTAGGTTCATTTAATCCAATTGAAAACGTCACGGGGAGCCAACAGTCATTTTAGTAATTGGATCGCGTTGCATCATAAATTATCACAAGCAAACACGTGTCCGAGTCCTTGATCTTTTATTTATAAGTTTAATCTGCGTTATATCAAATATATAAATTATATTAAAGAATTATTCCTATTAAATATACATAAATTCAAGCTCTGTGGGTGTAAAGGTCACACATAAAATATTAACGACGTCCAAAAACGTTGCATTCCGCCATAAAGTTGTAAATTAGACGATAATTTAATGCATATTTAGGCGCTTGCAGCTCAATAACACTCTGAAGTAAACATATTTTGTGTAAAAATAAAGATAAACTTAGTAATATAAGGCATGGATATGTATAATTTATCAAAGAAAACATTTATTTTGAGTTTATCTAAACTATCGTAAACACGATTAATTTGTTACTATTATATTTTCGCACGTATATACTAGTTCTATATTATGGATTATGGATAGTGTTCACTAGTACAGTACTATAGAAATATTTAGTTTTACACACACAAGCGGTTTGCTCACTGATACTGTAGAGAACTCAGCCTATTTGTTCACAGTACTAAAAGAATATAATGTAAATACTGTATTTATAACAGATACACGTACCCCCTTTGTAGTAAATAAATTAAGAAAATCCAGCAAAGAGTTGTTTAACTTTCCCGGCAACATTTAAAACTGCATATGGCGCCAACTGTTATGATATTTTGTTTTTAAAAAGCTTTTTATATTTTTAATTATTATAAAATGACAAAAAGCTTAATTTTGAGGGTAGGAATGGGTTTTATATACAAATAATAATAATAATAATAATAATAATAATTTTTGTACGGTAAATGCTAATAACGAGTAAAATCGTTAAGTCCTACATTATTCGAGAGCCCTCTATCTCCCCTCCCCTCGACCTTTAACCATCAAAATTCAATAGCAACAATCCTCCTAACGCAAAAACTTCCTGATTTTTCAGGGTGCAAAAACGACCTGAAAAATTTCAGAAATTTTCTGCAAAAATCACAGGAGTTATACTTCAAAGAGAGTGAACAAAATCTGCCATATACACACACACAAAACATCCATACATACATTAAAAAAGAAAAACCGTTTTTTTTTCTTTTTAATATGCTAAATGCTAAAATTACAGTAGCCTTATTTGTAGCACCATTCATCATCAATTCACGGTTGTCAGCCGATAATTTTTTTAAAAATTTTCAAATAAAAAAATTTTATGGAGTTACAAAATTAAAAAGATACCGCTTTAATGTATTTTTTTATATTGCGAATGTTCATTTTATGAAGGGAAAAATTCGAGAATGAGCAACATTAGATTCCATTTTATCACTTTATATACGAGTATTAAGTTATAACATTTTTATAAAGCTTTTGGGAGACGATTGGTGTTAAATTAAATTAAGCTTTTGAACGTTGATAAAAAATTAAATTTATAAATATTGAATATCTTTTACGAATTTTTTATAATGATGACGTGTAAACAGTATTAAATTTCTCATTCGTAATCATTCCGGGGGTGTCCGGGATCGAAAAACTCCAGGAATTTTTTCGAGAGAATGGTCTGTCCCGGATATGTCCGGCACCATCTTCGCCATCCACCCCATTGTGAGTCTTAGTGTCTACAGGCGGAAAGAGTAAAAAGAAGAAAAACTATTAATTCGTTGTTAAATATTGAAAAAAATTAAAAATAAGTGTTTTATTTGGGAATAGTTAGATAGTTTCGTCTTATCTTCCCGTAATTTGCCACGCAAAGTATTGCCCTAATTTGAAATTTAGTACTTTTAACCATTCGGCCATTTGATAGGCAAAATCAAACTAAAACATAAATAAAATCTAATGGCTAGAATATTTTGAGTATGTTTGTAAAGTCGAACGTGTGAGCTCCCACTACATTCGTCAAAATTTATTTTTATTATAGAAAATAAGAAAGGGAGACAGAAATATTTTGTAAAATAAATAATAAAAGGACGAATGTGAGTCAATCATCTCCGGTTAGGATCGGAAATCGGTATCGTATTAAACATCGACATCGACCTCTCTCGCAATCTGAATTGGTCTCGAGTTACGCTTGGAAATAGGTAGAGACGGTCCATCCAGAAAGTGTTGATGAGGAACCGAAACCAATCAGAGCGATCGGGAACAAATGGATAAAAACCTGTCTCTCAACACACAAGGTTATTTAAAAAGAAAAAAACACCGTTCTTTTTCACTAGAAAGTTCGTTCTTTTCAGATGGGCTTTTAAAAAGACCCAGTTCTTTGTTCACAAAAAGATCGTTCTGCTCTTCCTAGCGCGCTTCTACAAACAAAGTGTTTGTTGTGATTTACTTGAGTGTTTCACTCAAAGTATCTTAGTTACCGTGTCATCTAACTCATAAGTGAGCAACTGTCAACGCTCCCTTTGGTCAAACCATAAAGGATTTCATCAAATGAAGTCAGTCTGGAGCCGATAAACTGTCGAAGGACACCGCCAACGTAACTCCTGGACCTCGGACCTCTCAAAAATATTAATAGAGACTGATCTCGTGGATTTAATTAATCGCTTTCGAGGGAAAGAATTTGAATAACTTTTGTAATCCTTCTTTTACCATAATAAATGGTTTTGTAATGAACAATTATTTAATGTGACAACGTCACAATGCCGAGCTGCAATTTATTTAATTTAAAATATATGTTCTCCACCTCAAATTAGTAGTGGCTTACCCACGTGTAAGAACGCCGATTGGGGGGAGATTTTTATTCCCTACCGTCGGGATGGTCTAGGGAAAAATACGTATGTGGGTGGCGGTTTTTACGGCAGCAAAGACAAGTGTTTTACAAAGGTAAACCGTTTATTTCGGACGATAATGCTTACACAATTTTTAGGCTTCGGTGCTGGTCTTGCGTTGTTGAGAATTCCGGCGGTGATCCGGTGCGTCGTCGTAGGGGCCCCTGGACAGTGTTGAGGAGAAAAAAAAGTTCGATGTCTCGAAAGTCGATGCACGAAAGATGAAGATACACGAATACAACAGAAGTATAGGTGGAAGTCTTGGTGGAAGTAGAAATCAAGTAGAAAAGTCCTAGTGGAAGTCTTAGTGGAAAGTCCTGATGTCCTTGAATTTTGCGTTTTTATAGGGTTTTTGCGATCGGCTCCTTGTCAATTGGATAGATCTTACATCACTGTTTTCCAATTGGTCATCCACCTGTCTCCAGGTGTAAATGGAGCTTCGTTAAGTTCGTGGAAAAGGTCGGTTGGAGATGGTTTATCCGACACCATCTTTTCGAATCTGATCGCGTTTAATTGTTGACTATGACACCTTCGCTCATCTAGACATTTTTTTATCTAGTTTCGTTTTGCTTTCGAAACTGCGTCTTAACTTTTAATATTTTAAATTTTCTTCTTTTTACATCTAAAATTTGGTTTTTCCGTCAACGTCGACGTCAAAGTCGGGTGTCGCCGATTCGACACTTATAATTTGCTTTCCTGACGATTTAACATAACAAATTTTTACATATCTTTCCTTTTTGGGGGGGGCTATTTCCAGGGCCTCACACACGTACTGTACATACTTTTGGTTCTGTTAGCAATAGAGTCGTGTCGGTCATCTCTTTTCAGGAGAAAATTTTTGAATTGAAATAACGTGACTTCGGATGCAAATGGGAAATTTGTTTATACTATCACCTCTTTCTCAGCAAATGTAACTAATTATAACAACACACCTGAATTTTTTGCCAAGCATAAATTATTTTACTTTCAAACGTTTTCAACCCACTTATTATGGGCAGAGTCGGTAGATTAACTGGTCTTTCGACTTCCTTCTTCTTCTTCTTCTTCTTCTATCAGTGTTTATATGGAGATTTTAGCTCTTTATAGGCTCTTTCTCCGAATCACCAACTGTCCGGTTCCCCTACTTAAATCTTCTGGTTCGTGCGATGTATGCTTCTAACGCCGCCACTAGGTGGCGGGGTGTGATCTGTGTCATCGGCGCATACAGCTCCCACACTGCGCTATTATTAGTTAGTCTCACCCCCAGGGCGGTGCCCAGGTCTCTGCGAGCGATTTCATATTTCGGACATTCAAGCCAGTAGTGCGCCGCCGTTTCCCTCTCCATACAGTGAGGGCATTGGGGCGTGTCGTGTAGCCGTCTGGAGTGCAAAAAGGCATTCAAAGGGGCCGTCTCCGTGCGCAAGCGCGCAAGAATCGTCTCCATGTACCTGTTCGACGCGTATTGATAGTGCCAGTTGATGAACGGACAAAGATAGTCCCTTCCCCTTCTCCTCAAGTCAGACGTCCAAAGACCCGGTAGCTGACTTTCGACTTCCTATCTTCGGTCGTTGCTAAAATCAACTAGAGACAAACGTTACCACCAGGGGCACTGCAATCACTGCAAGAGCGCTAGATCGAATCGCTGTGAGGACAAATGTTTTATTTTTATTGAAAGATATATAACCTTCGAGTTGGATTTCATAATTTTCTATATGAATTTTATTATAAGAATGAAAAAGCTTTTATTAAACCCAAAACCAGGTTTATGGATAAATAAATGACAATAAAACATTAAACACCTTCCATCGCTGAGAAATGTTTATTTAATAAAATACGTTCGAACTCATTTACTCCCGAGGATGGTTTATTCCATGAGGCTGAAAATGTTAGTGTTTTATTAAATAAACATTTCTCAGTGATGGAAGGTGTTTAATGTTTTATTAAGTGTTTTAAAAACGCTGAGTTTGATATTTAGTTAAATAAATGACAAGGAACAAAACTGACACAATAGTATTATTATTATTAAATTGTGCTATTATGTGAATTTATTATACGTTAAAAATTTATTGTACATACAAACAAATTATATTATACATATTAATAATAATTATTATTTTTATTATTTGCGTTATTAAAATTTACTTTAAGTGAGAAATTTTTCTATGGTTTTTACTTTCAACTGATGAAATAAATGATTGATTAATCGTTCGCGTGAAAAAATGCAATCGACAAGTAACAAAAAAGTGCAAAAATCTGGAAGTCAAGTAGGACTTGTGACCAGCATTGTCACATCCTATCATCAATGTAACAGAGCACTGATTTAATATATTATCCATTATTGAAAAATAAACATCCATGTTTGGGTTTGTTAATTTTTCGCATACTTTGCTTTCTGCCCAGTACATCAATTGGCAAAGCTTATAGCTTGGATATAACAAACCTCCTCGAGATTTGATGAATGTAAATGTCTTCTCTGGTGCAGCATCCTCAGGTTTTGCTGTTAATATATTTTTGCATTCATCGCAACCGAGTGATGGCAGTAGATGATAAACAATGTAACCTCCTAAATAGTGTAGGATAAACTTAAATGTTTCTGGTGTACGATAATCATGATCTAATAATTCGCTATCACTAGGATCTCCATAGTATAGGCTTGGATCACAAAGCAAATTGTCTAAATGTTCTTCCAATTGTTCTTGAACTTCTATAAATTGTTTTTTATGACTATGAAGAAGATTTTTTAAAGTAATAAGGATAGATCCAGGATCAGTTTGAACTGATGCTCGTTTGGGAGGACGAACAAAACTGTACACAGTCATCAGTCTGTACAGGTATAAGAACTGTACTGTTGTGGGATGAGAATTGCTTCCACTTCCTTGTCTTATCATTCCAAAGAAACGCTAATTGAAAAGAAAACATAAGTTAAGATTTAATATAAGATTATATAATCATTACACTAAGTCAGTTTTACCTCTAATGGGTCCTGATTAAAGTGAGCTGTCAGGATATAATATGAGTTTGAAAGCAATTGTTTGATGAGTGCTAAGATACTAGTCAGCGTCAAGCGTAGATTTTCTGCTGTCTGGTGGCTCAAAAATCCCTTTTGATCAGTGCTTCTAATCTGTAATCTGAATGCTTCCCATCTATTTAACTATTCTAGATTCAATAACCTATTTTTAAAAAGTTGTTAATTAAAACATTTATAGTTTTTGCTAGTGAATCATTACTATTACCTTGAGATCATTTGAATCATGTCTGATTCCTTTCTGTGGCAATCTACGATTTAATACTCTTTTTGCTTTTTATATGGCATGCTTTCAGCATGTGCTCTATTACAAGTTTCTGTCTCGGTGGTAAGGAATCAAGTTTATAAGATGACAAGTGTTTTATTTTAAGTTCAGTATTTTCTTGATGAAGCTTGAGATTTTCTGTTTGAAGGGTTTTCAGTTTCTTCCTATAGATCATCTTTTGCTTTCTGCGCCGATATAAATCCTCTTTGACTTTTAACAATTCAGACTGCAAAGCAGAGATTTTATTGACATATAACAGCTCAGGATGCTGTGTAGTTGCTGCTTCAGATGTGGAGGGTTCTTCTACTTCCTTTTCTACAGTTGTTACTTGGGAGTGTGTATCATGCAAATTTAATGATTGATAAAAAAAAATATCAGACAATTAATCTTAAAGTATTTATAAGGAAAGATGGGCCACAGAGAGCTAGCCCCCAGTGAATCACAGTGGATCTCACAAACCCAGCTCAATCTTTAGTTAACATTTTTTAAATATAAAATGTTCCTTAAATATAGATAAAATAGGTAGATAGATAAAATTTAATTTTATATTAAAACACAGGGTCCGAGACGCACTGCGACTCAGGCAAGGGCAAAAAATTACATGTCTCACTGAGGATTAAGATTACATAAATATTTATATTTACCTTTGGTATTGTCTATTCGTGATCCCTTCCTACATGGTTCTTCATTTCTTGTGAGACATCGCGTTGATCGTTTTCGAGGTACAGACTTACTAACGTACTTAAGACAATTAGGGAAGTTTGATGGATATGCATCCGACGTTAATGCCCAGCGATCTCGTGGAATTTCTACTTTCTCTCCATTTATAANTGTGTTATTTATTTATGCTATTCAATTTATTTTATTTACTGTTATTTATTTATTTATTGTATCGATTTATTTTTTCATTTATTTAATATACTGTACACAATTATTGTAAAAATCTTTTAAATTTAAAATGAAACGTATTCGAAAAATGTTGCGTTCCATTTTGGAACGGTAATCGTAAGCCTGAAGACGGCCTATAATAAGTGGGTTGAAAACGTTTGAGAATAAAATAATTTATGCTTGGCAAAAAATTCAGGTGTGTTGTTATAATCAGTGCCGGCCCGAGGCAAGTTTTAGGATGGAGCGAAATCCTATTATGGCGTATCCCTTCGTTGCCCCTAATTTATACCCTTTAATTTTCTTTATAACTGAGGCGCCCCTAGGACTTAGCGTCTGGAGCGGCTGCTCCGTTTGCCCTATGGTAGGGCCGGCTATAGTTATAATTAATTTGTATATAGTTAATCGGGGCTTCCTGTTCCTAAACTTTCCATTTCTAGTCTCGACTTTCATAAATCTAACTACGTTCTCGAGATTAAGCTAGGACAGACAACGGACGGACGACTGATAATTTATAAGTTATTACAGTTTTTTTCAAATTGCAGCCTGATAAGAGAGTCCTTGCCTCAATACCCACTCCTCCATCCTGAGCAGATAGACCTCTTGTCCAAAAGGGCCTCGATCCCCATCACGTCCAATTTCGGGGCTGTGAACTACTTCATGGGGTGTTGGGAGATTGTGACAAACCAGTTAATGACGTTATCGTTCTTTCTTTCGCCAGACATTGTAACGGTGAATCGGTATTCGATTCGTTTTCAACAGAGTAGCTGTTTTTAAAATCGAAGTTGTAAATGTCGCTAGTGTATTCTTATCCGAAATATTTTTCTTAGGTTACTTAACGTGGCCAGCTAGCTATTGTATCATTTTACCATTTAATCTATAATTTATACTGTATAAATATACTAGAGTAAATGAAGTATACTGATTTAGAAACATCAGTATTGCTGATCACTGTTTTGGTTTACAATGTTTCTTCGTGAGTTTCGTTTGGAACCTCATCACTATTGACCATGTGCTGAGTGGAATTTGTACTTTATGAATAACTCCGACTTTACGAACGTGCTTAGTAGTTTATCTACTCGGCCATCCAGTGGACAAAACAAACTGAAATGTAAATAAAATCTAATTGATGGAATATTTTATTGTGAAATTGTTAAGATGAGCAATCCTTCGAGTTTATTTGAAACGGTCCCAGAATACACATTTGTCTCACATTCCAGATAAAATTTGTATCGAATGTCGCAATTATCAGGAATATTTTAACTATTGTGAAAAAAATTGTTTCTTCAAATTTTATAGAAACAGCTAGGAAGCAAGGATTAGTGCTTGGTTTCAGCTTTATTTGTCTGAAGTATTAATAGAATCAAATGTAGTACAGGTTTGAAAACAATTTTATTTTATAGAATGGTCATCTCCCTGAATTTAAAGTTACCCCACTGATAGCCTACTGAATCAAATTGTCATTCCTCAACATCATGACAACAGTGAAAACTTGTATATATTTCTGAAGATAGCATTTTGAACTACTGAGTTAATCTGCTCTTCTAATTATTTGTGTAACAAAGGTATTTTGCACATTTGTGTTTCTAAACATACTATAGCTTCTTGTATCATACTGTGACAGATAGTTGTTGAGACATAGCATCTCAGCCTTTCATATTGTCATCAAAAAATATATTATTTTTATACTTATAATTTTGTATATTGTGTGTTCTGTCACCGAGTTTAGTAATAACAGCAAAAAGTCAAACTTAGATTTGTTTTAGTTGTCCAATAATTCATCAGACCAATGTAGGAATATAACTGCATCATTATTCATGCTATTTACCAGCAAGATATATTGTTAAATCCATTGATCCATTCTGACTCCAAACATACTAAAAATGCCATATAGGTGAAAAAGATTTCAATTATCCAAGTAAGAATGAAACCAGAATAATCCTAAGTGGAAGTGCAACACAAATTCACATCTACATTGAGTAGTCAGAATGGATCTGAATAAAATTTATACATAAGAAAATTAAAACCATGGCTAGTGAGAATCACATCTAAAGGCCTTCTTTCACCTCTAGAAAGCAAGCAAATATGAAAATGGCAAGTGACCATGAAAGTGTCAATGTTTTTACAACAGCAGCAAGCAAATGAGTGAAGGGATCGTGTGTCATGTCATCATGCAGTAGTGATTGTAAAGATGGCACAGTAGGAGGGATAAGCATGCTGCAAATTCACTCAATCTGTTTGGACTGGTTTAGCAGCTAAGTATCAACTCTGCAATATCATTTGCTCCCTCATTCTTCATTACAACTATGAACAACTGTATTACAAATATATTGATCAAACTTTGAGTGCTATTCATTCATTTTCTCACTTACTTGACACTGGAAGTATAAATGCTAAGAACAATTAATGAGAAAGTAATGTGCAAAATATTGTTACATATCTTCAAAAATTATTTTCTAGAATATGAAATGTAAGAATCAATTGGTTGTTTGGATTGCATATGATACAAATGAAATCAAACACAGATTGTATATTTTAGATCCATAAAATTTTATTTACATAATAACCATCATATATTATATAAGTTCTGTTTTACACAATAAGAATATGGAAAAATATTGTTACCTACATGTATTCACAAGTGAATACAAAATTTTAACATAAATTTACTTAATAATTAAAGAAGACAATAAGTTTACTGACTGAAATTACGTTAATTTTTTGATACTTTTGACATCCTGTTTGATCCTGATATCTGTACTATTAACACACTGCAACAAGCCATCAATTTTCTCCATTTGATTCGTTTGCTCTATTCCAACTTCAACTGCAAGTGACTTTAATTGCGAAATGGCTGCATTTAATTCTTCTAATTCACCCCTAGTCATTGTCTTTATAACCTGTTTGTCTGTTTCTTTGTTACACGGATTCCATGTTGTTATGGGGCTGCAACTTTCACCTATAAAATATATTATTAATCACATTAAATGTTATTGGATTAATCATGTTATTGGAAATCTTCACTTTATACCTTTAAAAAATACTAACTTGGGGATTTATTCCATGGAAAAACATTATCAGAAAACTTAAGTCTGTCTGAGAAAAGACTGATTAATCTTGTTCGAATTTCTAACAAAGAAGGACATTTTATCATAAAATTTGAAGTGTCTTCATCCTCGTAACATATCTGCAATTCCCAACTTGAAATAATCTGTTAATGTATCAAAACATATATAAAATTTGAAACAAATACAAAATTTGAATTTAATTAAATACCTGTATATAGTTAACATCATCTTTGTTAAAGTATTTGATGAGTTTAAATTTATCATTGTATAATTTTAAACCATTATTACATTTTTCTAAGATTCCACTCAACCATATATTTTGATTAGGAGAATATTTATCAAGACAATATACAACAGGATACTGATTAAGCTTCGCATCTGCGATTTCCTGTTTTTTTTTACAACTGGAAGATTGACTCTGATTCAGACCAAAGGTCCAACTCATCAGCCCCAGTAATTTTTCAGCAATGGTAAGATCCGAATTGATTTTGTCAATGATGTCTGCAGCATGATCAAGTTGTTTTCCTTGATGATTTAATGTCAGTGCAGTTGCTGCTAATGTCTTTTCAGATTCTTGAGCAAGCCTCAGTAAATCTTTTCCAAGTTCAGACTTCCCTCCTTTCACTAGCTGCAACTTACTTTCAGAATATCTTCCACAAATAGCATTATGATTCCAAAAAAGATACAAAACATTAAACACTGAATCTCTATTATAAAAAGATGCAAACCAATGATTGGTATTTCCAGAAGTTATCACTATGGAACCAAATATGAATGAAGAATTCTTGCGTTGTATCAAACTGATGTCATCTAAAAGCATTTCAAGACATAAATGATTGTCTTTTACTTCATTTTCATAAAATTCTAATCTGTCTTCTTTTAAAATTAATACACCATTGTTCCACTTTCGGATTTTTGAATTATAGTATGAAGATGATGTTTGTAGTATGTACGACTGTTCTTGATCTTCATCCATTCTTTAGTTACATCTGAAAATATCAAAATTTATAACATTATTGTTAAATTATTGTAGAATATAGTAAAAATTAAAATAGACTATATCTCCCATAGAAATTAAGTTATACTATTGTACAGACTACTAGACAGCCCAAAGAGCAATTATTTGTAACAAAATACCATACAGGAATGCTAGTAACAACAGAATAATCTCCTATTTTTTGTAAAAAAATTAAACTTATCAAATCAATCTACATACGTAAATATAGGATTGCCCAAAAATTGGTTAATCATGATACATTTTTAAGATTATTTCAAAAATCAGTTAAAACTGGTTTGAGAGGGCTACTTATTTGTGATCAATCACTTCAATGGAATTGCTGGATTATTTTAAGACTGCATGTTATTATTTATAATATTAATAAATACATCTTGGTAACCCTGAAGACTTGTTAAAAATCTATAAGATTCACAGACAGCTAAGCATGTATATTGTTACATACTACAAACTCTTCGTAATATTTATATTAATTAGCATTTAAAGTAGTTTTTTTTAATATTTGTATATAAATATCTTGATATTTTGTGCATTAATTAAAGAAGGTATTAGTTTATATATATAATACAGTATTAATTAAATTTTCTAAAATAATTTTTAAAACATAAAAGATTTCAAATTTTATTTATATATTCTGTAATGCCCAAATGCAGTGGCAGAACTACAATGGCATAAAGTGGTTCACATGGAAAATATCAAAATTTATAACCTTAAACCAGAACCTGAGGCCAATAGGCCCCAAACATCTAAAAGTCTATGATTCTGAATGAAATTGTTGATCATAGGTCAGGTGATTTTTCAGTCAAGGGCTAAAGGCCATTTTTGGAGAAGCAAGTCCTATCTTTTGTAGTGGAGGGTGGAGTTGAGAGGAGAATTTTGACTTGCATTGGAATTCTAAACAGTACAAAGTGAAATTGTTTCATCTCCAAATAAATTTAAATCTGTTTACAGTGACTGTTTTAAACTCTAATAGACATAATTATAAGAAAACTCATTACAAAAACATCAGTAGTAGCATATTGTGAATCTCACCATAACCAAAGACTCAGACATTCTAATCGCTATGAAAAACTCTAAAACTTTCAACCCAGATTTGACTTTGGAGTCATAGAGTAGCTGTTCAATTAGACTTTGCCATTGGAAGCAAATCACCAATTGAAACTAGCATTATATATACATTTATTGCATAAACAGGATATAATATATTTAAGAAATTATAATTTGAAAGCTTGTTTTTCTTTAACTTGATATACTAAAAATTGCTAAGGATTTTTAGCACTGCAATTTCCACATCAAAAACTAAATAGAAATGCATGGCAAAAACACTTTCAGAGAAAAGACTGAATTCAATGAAAAAATAACAAAACACATATTGAAATTCAATTACCTAAGGACTTTGATAGCAGAAAAAGAGGACATATGACAGGCAAAATATAGAAATGTAATAGAATTAGGATAAAAAAAATTATTTCTTTTAGAAACAAATGTCAGCTTAAAATAACAATTGCGTAATAGCATTTCTAAAGCCATTCTCTCAAATCATATTAACAAGGATGAAGAACGGATGTCTATGCCTGAAAATGGCCCATTAACTGGGTTGAAAACACTAGCATGTCTTCAACTTCATCCACTGTTAAAGGGTGATAGAGACTCCAGAAAAATTGGAACTACCCACGATATTTCCGAGACACTCCATCAGACTAGACTAAAACTAGACTTTCAATAAAGCATAGATAGTGGGAGCAAAATTAAGAGATTAACCAGCATAACGTAGTATAGTGCATAAAGACCTACGTAATTACCTAAAAGTAACTCCTACTCATTAAAACACGTTTTTGTTTACGCAATATGAAAAATAATAAATTATTTCGAACATGACATTCTACTTATTAAAAATTTATTACTATTCGTTGAGTTAAGTGATCGAATCATCAAAATAATACATTCGATTTCTCTACATGTGACTAACTGTAAGCTAAATAAATACTTTATAAATACTAAACACATTGTTTACCTGCTTTTGCGTTAACGATACGCCCTCTGGGTTTTTTTTAAAACTTTACAGAAATAAAAAAATTAACATTTTAATATTTTACTAAAAATTTCAAATGAAAATTATAATTTTTTATAATTATTTAAAAATAAATTTCAGTATAAATTAAACTTCTTCACTTAGAACTGTTTCAAATAATACTTACCAGAATAACGAGATGAAAAGGAAAAAAGTGGCAACGTTACGTTATCGTTGCGCCCGCTAGAGATTTAAAAAAATTTACAAAAATAATTTTTAAAATTATGAATTTAATTTTTTATTAAAATGTTAAATAAAAATATAAGTTGCATTTTTTATTTATTAAAAAATTAAAGTAAAATATTAATTCATGTTGTTAATATAATACATTTAGAATTTTTAAAAAATCCTATTAAAATATTCAAAGTAAAGTTTTAAAATAAAGAATTTCGAAACGTTTAAACGTCTGTATACATTAAAAGTTTAATCAATTACAGTTAGAATTTAATTTTATTATTTTAGAGAAACCTTAAAACGCGCGACAGTCTATAATTGGATTGAGGAATTATATTTGTAGCTTCGCATACGGCAAAGTGTATAGATTCGTCACGGAAATGTTACGTATAAACAACTATATTCATCGCATCCGTACGTTTTGTGTGGATTGGATATCTGTTATGTCAACATTTTTGACATTTCTGTACTTTTTCGAATTGTTTTTCGGCATCAAAACAATCACCAAAAGCTACGAGCAATGGAAGGACATGGGAGAGGAAAGGACATCCGTTAAATTTTTTGTTGGTATTTTATTAATTTTAACATCTACCGGATTTACCAATCTCGCATCTCTTAATTGGGAATATAAAAGAGGAAGAAGTTCGGCGTGGTGTTACGTTTTTCATCTTTTTCAACTTGGTATTCTATGGAGAAGAAGCGCTGTTAGAAATGGCTGTGAATGGCAATTAGATTCTCAACTTCTCGCCACTGTTAAGTTTATATATTCCTATTTTCATACAGTTCCTCTGGTGATGTTTCAAATGCATGACATTTTAATGGGCGAAACGCAATCTGTAGGAATGATTATTGTTATTTTTGAACTGTTATGTATCGTTATCTCTACTGTGGTTTGTTGTTGGTTCTACGGAATTGCTCTTAGTAATGAGGTTTGCAAGTCTAACGATCAGAACTGCGGCGCTACATTTTTCATTCCTATATATAATCAATTTAAAGATGGAGATGGAGCAGATAATAAACCTGAAGAAAAGATGATAAATGAAACTAAAGCAAAAGAAGTATTTGTCAGATATTTGATGTTTACGCAAATGTTTTGCTTTCTTCTAGGGAAATTAATAGCCTTTGCAACTTTCATCGTTATTTCGGGAGTGTATTCGGTTCTAATTTTTGGTATTCATTTCTTTGCAAATATTGCTTATTTAAAACAACAAATGCCGTATTTAGTACCAGAATCCATAAATGGACACAAAAAATGGGCTAGGTTTTGCTACTTAAGCTACCTCCTCCTTTTTGATTGGCATTTCAATAGAGATCCGAACACTGCATTCAATCTCTGTACAGATATTCGCGAAGGAGTCAGTTATTATATTATATCTGTTCTTGAAGTTATAATTATAACTGCTATCAAATTCTGTATTCATTCTAATTTAAATTCTGCTTCAAATGGGTCATTTAACTTACTAGTTATCGGAACAGTTTTAGTAGTAACTTCAGTTTCTAGTCAGATAATGTTAGTTTTATATTTACAAGGTACAAAAGAATCAAAGGCTTTATGGTTTGAGAATATCTTCAGCTTTCCAGTAATAAGTAAGAAACATTTGAAAGGAAAATTCTGTCGTACAAGGAAAACTTCTTTCCCTACTCCCACGATTTCGACGGTTGGCAGAACTCTTAATGAAGAAATTCCTAGTTTATCTAAGAATACAATCGCTAGTAACAGTTATTTGGATTTTAAGGATTTAGAAGATAATTTTCTTCCTCATACAGAAAATACAGAGGGATCTGATCAATCAGTTTCTCATTTTTCAAACGTAAATCAAGCGGAGAAGCCATTTGAAATAATTCATCAAGAATTTAATATGCTTAAATGCAACGATAAAGAAATTACTATATTTAATTGTGACGATAAAGTTAACTCAAAAATAAATTTTCATTCGTTATCACCCAATAAAGAATGTTCTGGTTTAGAGACTGGAGGAACCATTAAAAATTCTGCAGATGACGAATGGTGCTTTAATAGAAACCTTTCATTTTCGTGGCCACATAAAAATGGAGCAAAATCTCAACTGAAAACATCACAAAAACTTAGCAGCTCCTTTCAAAATATCAATTGTCAAGATCAATACATTTCATCTATGATTACTAATGTACAAGAAGATTCTTCGTTAAACGAAGAATACTTTTCGCCTCTTCATTCAGCTTCTGAAACTCCAAAAAAAGAGTCTTCAACTCTTCAAGATGTGGAAGATTATATTTAACCATTAATGAAGTCTTTCTGTCTTAGTTTTCATTATTTGTTTATGAAGTATTTTTGTAAAAAATATACTTTTTAACATTTGAGTCGTTACAAGTTTATAATCGTCTCTATAATCAATTATATAGTAACCCAGGAGTCGCCAAAGTGGTCGATGCAACATCATTGGGAGGTCGATGCGGCTAGGGGGGTCGATGCGGCTAAGGGGTCACAACCTTTTTTTTTGCCCATACACATACACTTGTAATAAAACTTTACGGTGGGGGTCAATGTGAGGCTTTGGAAAGTGGTTGGGGGTCGATGGTTAAAAAAGTTTGGCGACCCCTGCAGTAACCAGTTAAACAATTGCTGAGTAAAAAACATAATAAAGCATCAAAATCTGTTAAATATTAAGAGATAAAAACTTTTGTTTCAGTTGAATTTCTTTATAAACACGAATGTGGCGGACTTCAGGTTGCAAACCTTTAAATGTGAATGCACTATTTCTGTCAACAGCGTAAATATCTCGTATATGAAAGAAGAAAATTTAGAAAATGTAGTTTATGTGCAATTGTTTGTTTCCTCGAGCATATGAGGGAAATTTACTTAGAAGAATTTCTATTATCCATTAATCACAAAGTTATGTAATTTTACTTTGCGAGATACGATATTGTATTTGGCTGTATATATTTTATTTATTCTTTGTTATTAATAATAAAATATAAGCTATGTGAAACATTTATATTTAACATGAAAACGTCTAATCAGGGACGAATCCTGACCAAAATTTTTGGGCATGCTGAAAGTTATAATAAGTATAATAGGCCTATCTCTAGCACTAAACAATAGACAAAATGTTATTTGATGTGAATAAAATGTTCATATTTGGGATTATTTTTTGATATTAAAATATAGTAGTATTTAGCTTTTTGCTTTGTTCAAAATTATGCTTATATTATGCATATTAACTATAGCTCGTATATTGATTTGTCATTAGGTATAAGTCATGTTCTCGTAACAATTTATGAATACTTTAATGTCAAGTATGGTATTATTTAACTAAATTGTTGCCTAAATCCAATATCATATGATGAAGTTTAAGAAATAGTTTAGGTAAATAAGTATTTGATTGATTTTGAATTTATTCCTAATGTTTTTGTGCCAGGCTTTTCAATACAATATTCGTTAAAGTTTCTCTCCTTGACAATTTCTAAACAATACAAATTATTAACATAGATATACATGTGTAGCTTTCCATGTACAGTATACCTCACAGGGTCTTCCTTAGGATATTTTGTGAGAAAAATTTGACAGTAGTGCAGGAATATCTTCAACTTTTTTGTCTTAGAGATATTATACCTATTAAAATTTTTTTAAAACTCTTTCCGCCCTGTGGGCACTAGAAGGCCTCTTTTAGTAAGCCCATTACGGGTTCGGCCAGGTCCTCACTGGGGTGGTGAGGGACGGGACCCGACATATCCGGACGGATCACTCCCCGAAAAATTTCTGGGGATTTTTCGACCCGTTCGGATTCGATTCCGGGCTGTAAGCTGTCACCTTGACCGCTCGGCCATTCGGCCACCAAACGTGGCTCGTATCGTGGAAGGTTACCTTCAGCAACAAACAATTTAATGCAAGGAGTGGCCAGCTCGATCTCAGGACCTGAATCGCTTTGAGCATGTCTGGGATGCTCTAGGGAGACGTATTGTTGCTCTCAATCCTCATCCTCATACTTTCCAGACTTAGAGCAGCTTTACAATAGCTCTCACTTTCTACCGACCTCGGAGATAATTTATAATTGACATATAAGATAAGATAATATAATTGATTTTAAAATACCGCATAATTGACAGCATTACGCATCTCTGTATGTGCTGTATTGCTGCTTGGGGTGATCACACTCCATATTGAAGATACTGTACTTTTCCTATACCAAACTGACACATCCAATTTGTCAATTTCATACATGTGCTAATTACTATAACATCATAATTTTCCTGTAATTTGTTTTCATGGTTTTTTTTTTACACCTTACTATGCGTCGTACACTTTTTTCTCAGGCTCATTAAAATCAGCATGTAACTTTTTGAGTTAACGCGATTTTTGGGATTGTTTCTTAATATTTTGAAACCAAGTATTTAATAAATATGTGGTTGAACTTTTTATTTGGTAAAAGTTTCTGTAGAATGTTTGTTAACAATAATGCAATTATTTTAAATTAGTATTTTATTGTTTTTCTAAAACATTTATTGCTGATTAGTGGTGTTATTTTCACATTTAGATTTTATAACCGAAAATTTTACTAATCGAATGGTTACCAAACCCCGAACAAAACCGGTACCTATTGAACCAGTTGCCGGCTCTTTTTAGATCGGATATAGCGAACCGGAATAGAAACTGTAGAGAGGAACTAAACCAAATTTTCTTGCTGATTGAACTTCTGCGAAAAACTGAATGTATCTATGACTGAAACAAACAACACCTTTATTTCCCGTAAATTAATGTTTTCTGGAATAAATCAGTTTTATTGTATTAATAACTATAACCAAAAAATATATCGAATGAGGTTATCAGACTAAATTTTTGTTAAAGTAATATATTTATATTATTTAATTTACCCTCGAAACGAGATCTGGCAACACTAAGCAATCAATTCAACCAGTGGCGGATGACTCATCGAGGCGAAGGTGTTGATTTTTTTCCTGTGTACAAAACTTGATTAAATGAATCATTATTAACCAAAATATATTAAATTTCGATATTAATAATTAATTTATAACACCATAATAAGTATTAAGGTACGTGTTTTTGTATAATTTAATTATATAAAGTGCGTTATTCGATAAATCGATTTAAAAGTCTTGGCTTAAGTTTATTTTGACAAACTTTGTAATATTTATGGTGTTTTCTCCCTTTAAGAAACGCTGTAGATTAGTTTAGAATCAAGTAAATCTTCTTAGTTACTTGAATAAATAAGCTATTTGATTAAAGTAAATAATGCGCAATAAATTGTAATGTAATTTCAATCAGTTAAATCATGTCTATTTCATAATGACGTTTTGCTTGTTAATTACACAATTACATTCTTAATTGTGATTAAAGTATTTCAAATATACTTAAATTTCTTAATCTTAATTAAAAATTCGTTGATAATCAGTCTGCATTTTGTTAAATGATGATAAAGAGAGTTGCACAATGACTGATGCTTATTAAATATGTGATATACTTTATTATTAACTCATTTAAGTAAGATAATGCAATTTAATATATAATATATAGAATTTTTTTAAGTGTTGAACTATATGTATATGCTCATAATTGCACAATGAATAGTTAAAAAGTTCTATACGTGAAGCTGTGTCCAGAGGAATTAGACTTAATTATTTTTGGGAATGCTGAAATTTCGGTATTCGATGGTAATACACTTGTGGCACATTCCGAGTCATATGATACTTAATTACATTGGCTGCTAGTCTCTTAGGCACTCTCAGTTTGATGTTCAAATGTACAGTGTAAATGTCTTGTTGCTATTGGATATCGAAATAGTTGACACTATGCCTCCAGTCGCCCAGTTAGAGGATATATTGACATATTTGAATCATATATGGACCTAGTATAGAATGCCCATCTAGGTCTGAACTTCATTAGTTTTGAGGCATTTTGAAAGCAAAATTTTTAACTTTGCCTTACAACAGTTAAAGATTCTAGAACAGTATCAGCAACTCCTTTAATTATTTTCATACATTAGAATGGAAGATAATATATGGAATTAGATATACATTTATGTAAAGAATATGAGAACATAATAGATAACTAATAACTAGTATGCATAGAGATCTTGTGGCCACTATACATATAAATATATATAAATATATTACTGGCAAATGACAAAATTGCTATCAAATACTGTTTGTTAGTATAAAATGCATTTAAATTAAAATATCATTGAAATAATTATATCAAAACTAGAATATTTTTGCCTTTATTTGCTGTTTAATTGTTTTTAAATCAATATTATGGAATAAGAGAATTATTTTGAATAAATTTATAATTAAAATGATAATGATTCGTATGCATGATTTGAAGGTGTCGTGATTCATGTTCTAATGAATAAAGACAAAAGTATTCCTATTTTATTTACAGATAGATACATACATATGTTTTATATTATTGAACTATTTTATAGTTCAATAATATAAATCATGTAGCTTATTTATATAATGATAAATTTTCCAAAGAATATATTTTAAATGTGTGTAACAATATATTTTTGAATATGTTAAAAATTAAAGATTGATTATTTTTAAGGAAATGTTTGAAGTCTCCATATAAATAGTAATGTTTTTTATATATTAATGCTTATAAGTAAAATAATTATTTTGAATCTGCATTTTGAATTATTAATATTTCAGAATTAATTTTTAATTGAATCAGGGTATAAAATGACATATGAAGTTATATCATTTGACATTAATTTTTTTCTATATTTATCTGTATTTTTATCTGTTAGTTTATTATATATATGCATGTATATATAATATACATATTCAGAATTATTTGAAGATGCAGATATTATTTTGAAAAATAGCACAGAAATTATGCATGTTTATGCAATTAACTAGTTTGAAATTTTCACAAATACTTCTTTTTATGTATATGATAAAAATTTGATGATTTAGGCATATCTCAATATTGCCTATGCAATAATAAGGGAATAATGACACAATAACAGTAAATAATGTTTGAATTAGATAAAAGTTGTGATTTCCAGCTATAAAGGCAACTGCAACAAAGTGCAATCTTGTTGTGGTCACATTATTTATTGGCATTGCAACTTGGAAAAACATAACCTTATAATAAACCAACATTCCCTTTACAACTACTGTATTACTACAAATATAACCCACAATAGGAGTTTAAAATTGGAAAGTTTGAAAAAAATAAAAAAAACATAAAAATGATTTTATAATTATGACTTGTGTCAATTGCAGGGTATAATCCTTTTTTAGGCCTTGAGAATGATTTTCTGTCTTATTTACACTGAAATAATTCTTTCCTTCATGGCTCTCCAATGATGCACATTCCTTTTGTCAACCATAAATCTTTTGCTGGCTGCACAATTTCCAATTTCTTGGGTGCACAATATAAATTTTTTTAAAATTCAGTATCATAATGTATCATAAACCATTATTCCATTATTAGTGAGTATAGGTAATAAAAGAATTTAAAATTTGATTTTACACAGCTGCTATTAAACAGCAACAGGATTACCATATTTACTCGCATATAGGTTGAGATGTTTATGAGACTTTAAAGATCAAAATAAAGAAAATTAGATTTGTTAATACAATTCTAATTTTATTTCATTTAATCACAAGTAAAATATCAAATGAATGTAAATGCATACATTGTCCTGCAAAAATTACTGGCATTTTAAACTTTAAGGAAAAATCTTGTAAAATTGACAACATAATTTGTTCATGTAAAACTGGACAATTAGGAACCTTTCTTTTTTGCCAATTCTTAACAGTCGAATCCACTCTCTGTCGATTACACTTATTAGTTTCTTCAAATTCTGATTTCCAAAAAATCATCTGTTTTCACATGGGAATGGATTAAAACTTATACCGTGCTTCCGTGTGATTTTGGAATTTCAATCTGGAATTCAATTCAAAAGCTTTGCTTTTCCTATTGCTATTCATCTTTACTCCTTACAATGTACAAGAATGATTCAAACAACTCAGATAAAAGACTTATGTTTTTAAATACAAAAGCATAAGCATCAGGTAAAAAATGCAAATACACGATTCACAAAAATTATTTGCAAAAACACAAAGAGTCTTTCGCTCACACGTATAGGACGACCTAGAAATTTGAAGCTGTGATAAATGAATAAAAACCTCGTCTTATATGTGAGTAAATACATTAAATCAGAAAAGTGTGAACAGGGAACCACTGAATAAACTACTATCAATGATTATAATACTAAGCACATGTATAGAGTGTAAAGCAAAGATCTGATTGTTGGGGAGTGGGAGATTGGCAAAAATAAGAAGTTAAAATATTCACTTTGAATTTAAGCTGCACCCTAATTTTACATCTTAAAAATTGGAATAAAAAGTTTGGTTTAAATTTGAAGTAATATGGTACTATGCCAGCTATCTTCTATTTTTTTTTTAATTTGAAGGAATATTGTTTGCAAATGATAATACTTTTTACTTAGTTCTTTAGTCATTTTTAAAAGAATAATATAATTACTAAGTTAAAAATAATCAATATTATATATCCAGAAATCTAAAAATTGGTATTTAAATCAATGCCAAGATTTTTGCTTGTCTTATGCCATGCTTGTTCTCTTTTATCTTTGATAAAATGAAGAATTAAAATTCCACAGGCATTAGTGAGCCTGAATGAGCTGGATCGATCTTGAATCTAAAGCTGTACAGGCATTCTCACTTTATGCCATGATGGATAACTATTTTCAAAGTTGTCACTGTATGATTTCATACAAAAGTGTTTGCTGATTGGATAAATGTTTGCAATTGACATGAGTAGAACAAACTTTTTGTTTCTAGTTGTATATACTGTCATGAAGGTGGATTTACTAGTTATCAGGAAAACCACTATGGTTGCAGTTGTCTGCATGGTTGGAAATTACAAGGTGTGATCTGGCTTTAGATTACTTGTCCTCTAAAGTTAGACCATTGGCTGTTTGTTGCTGAATAGAATAATAAATTAATAGCTTTTTAAAGCAGTTTATTTAATAATTTGAACAGAATAGATTTGATAGTGAAAAGAATCTGATAAATAGGAATTAGTTGTTAATAGGTACTATTGGTTAAAAATGTTTCTTATTGTATTTGAATATAATTTTAAAACATGTATTATATTTGAAAGGTTGTAAAGGTTATAATATTGTCACAATGAATTTTGAATGAAGATTTGGTTTTTGTGAGTTACATGTTTTTTTATATTGTCATGCATTAAGAACTTCCTTGTTACTTTCTCTTTATTGTGACAATTATATTTAACTTAAGTGGTTATTTCTAATCTTTAGTTATATTAATTTAGGAATGTGTATCTAATACGATAAAGTTATATAGTCCTTACTGACTCCCTGACTTACTGGTATGAAATGTTTGAGTAGAAATGTAATTCTTGAGAAAAGTAAAATGTTAAAAGAGATGTTAAGTATATTACCAGAAAAATGGAATTTTAAAATAAAAAATATTTTATGCACTGTGAGACCTCAAAGTTTAACACTTGACATTTAGTAAATGTCACAATGTTAAAGCAGTTGATTAAGTTGAGTCATATTTGCTTATTTTTGAAGATTTTTGTTAATTTTTTTCTGCATTATTTAAATTACACTGTTTTGTTTTAATATTGATAATTTTTTAAATTATTTTTTACATTTATTTGATATATATAAAAAAATTGTTTATATAAACAATTGTAAACTGACATATCATTTGACATTAATTTTTTTCTATATTTATCTGTATTTTTATCTGTTAGTTTATTATATATATGCATGTATATATAATATACATATTCAGAATTATTTGAAGATGCAGATATTATTTTGAAAAATAGCACAGAAATTATGCATGTTTATGCAATTAACTAGTTTGAAATTTTCACAAATACTTCTTTTTATGTATATGATAAAAATTTGATGATTTAGGCATATCTCAATATTGCCTATGCAATAATAAGGGAATAATGACACAATAACAGTAAATAATGTTTGAATTAGATAAAAGTTGTGATTTCCAGCTATAAAGGCAACTGCAAC